GGGGTGCCTTAACTAGGCAGATAGGTACCTTATGGTAGTTATCGCAGAGTGTGGTGATCATTCCATTTCATTCGAATCGAGGTACGTAAGGTAGTTGGCGAGTCTGTGGATGTGGATGTGCTGCGCCTCATGCATGTGACTGAATGGATATGCGGACTCCCGCGTCGTCACTCGGTCATGTGAGCCGCTCGATGTGAAACTGCCCTGATGTTGAGAAGAGAGGAAAAAAAGAAAAAAGAAGGGTGCATCAGTTAAAACGCCGCTCGGATACTTGCGGGCGCGGTTCCGGGTGATGATGATCCAGATTCAGACTCAAATTTAGTCCTTCTCGCGATCTTGTCCTGCGGAGGGTTGTTCGGCGCTGAGGCGGTGCTGGGATGGTGGCTGCTGGCAGTGCCCTTGGGGACTCTCGGCGATCAGCTTTATCCCGCTTGGCAGTGCTGTTGCCATGAATGTCGCTGTGGGTTGTGGATTTGGGTGAGGGACGGCTCCCGCGCAGACTTGACAGGTGCGAGGCCATCTGGTTGTCCATCAGGAGGTGGATGGTTAGGGCGCTCGGGTCTGAGATGAGGGATCTGCGGCGTGCGATAAGGGCCGGCTCGCTAGACGCTGGTGCTGAGGTTGCTGTTGTTGCTGCTGCGCCGGCGAGGGTGTTGGGATATGCGAATCTTGCGACCCCCCTGATCGGCTCGACTATGGTGCGATCATGGTTGGTGTCTTGAAGGGCGTCGTTGTCGTCTTGCAGCACTCCTCCGTCAGAAGGGATCTGTCGTTGTCTGCGTCAACTTTGTTTCTATTATTGGGGTTTGGGACTTACAACAGATGCGAATCTCTTCCCCGGCATGCTCACATAGTCATCAAAGGAGCTTTCGAGAGTCGCGAAATTGAATCCTTTCTTTGACGCAGCGGGCTCAAAGCGCTGTCCAACCTCTGATCTAAAGTCCACAGGCCGTCGACTCAGAGGCTGATACTTGAGCAACGATAACCACCAGTCCGGGTAGCTGCCGTACCACGATTGCAGGGTCGGCTCGATGTCCAGGGAGAAAACAATGCGGCTGTCTGAGCGCGGTTTCTGGATCAGCATGGCAAACGTGAACTCCCGCGGCAGGCCCGATCTCTGCAAACTGTTCTCCTCCAGCGACCAGACAATTTCTCCGGCTTCGATGTCGAACTTCCGTCCTCGCGGGCTCTTCAGAGTCCGGACTGATCCCTGGATTCTCATCATCTCAAAGCGTCTGTATCGGCCGTTAATACCACCGGTGGGCGACAGGCTCGCCATCACCGGCAAGTCAACGACTCCCAGTGATCCGGTCAAGCTGTAGTTCCACTGCAGTGTCTCCGGCGATATTGAGCCGTAGATCAGATGTGGTGCATGCATGAGGAAGCGCGGGTTTCCCGGCGGGTAGCCGTTCGGATAATGGTCCGACGAAGCGACGTGACGGGTGCCCTGCACAGAGGCTCGAATCGTGGCCGCCTTGAACCGATGCGCCAAAGTGTTGGGTGAGTGGAAGACGAAATTGATCCCCAGGAAGTCTACGTGGTCATAGTCCTTGTCGGAAACGGCAGGGCTGGAATAGAATCCATGCTGCAGTCGCTGGACGTGCGCTGTGATGTATGCATCGCCGGGTAATTGACGCTCGTAGATACAGGCTCCGTTGAGCAATAGTCGTGGGTTTGCCAGATTGGGATCTGCAGGCGTCTGGGACTCGGTGTTGCTGGTCTCAAGTTTCTTTTGCTTGTTGCCAGGGACGGCAGAGTCGCGAGGCAGCGGCGCAGGAGGCGCCTGACCGTTCATGCTCGGCATTCCCAGTTCGTTCTTGTAGTATCAGGTAGCCAAAAATGACTGCCTCGTGTCAAAGTCCTATGTTTGAGGTCGCGTTTGTTGCTTGTGGATCCATGAGCGATGGAAGTAGATGATCCGCGAACAGCCTGTATATCAACGTCGTTAGTTATGAGGTTAGTTGACGAGTGTCAGATGCAGAGTGCTCTACTTTTGACTGACTTGGGCAAAATTGAAGGCGAAAACCGAGCTTGTGGACAGATGCTCATGGCTGGAGTCAGGTGAGAAGGGATCTACAGTCAGATGAGAGACGGATGGATGTGTTACTATGGATGTGGTGAATGCGCCAGTGAATTTGTCGCTTTGTTGACCTGGGAGGTCAGGTGGAGAGCTAATGACTCTTAAACACATTCTGTTCTTTGCGATTTTGGGGGAATGGTATAGAAGACTGCTGTATGCTGGAGGTGACCGAGGAACATTCGAGTATATATCTTTGTATACATATCCATGTTGTAGCACAAGCAACCACGAAAACTCTGAGCCATGAATAGCCGTCATTGAGTCGTTTATCATTCCCATCTACCGACTCTATCTTGACTGTTCCAAGTATGACTCTTCCCAATCTCGACAATCATAGTTTTATGTCAATTTGCCTTATGATTTGCACTTCAGGATCGAGAGATAAGGCGGTTACACCACACCCGCTGTGATTGAAGTCTTACGCATATTCAAATAATAACTCAGACAATAGTGGAGAGGAAGTTCCGTCGTATCCCAGCATACTGAGGACGGTTCAACCTGTCGATGTTCCCAAAGGTTTACTCCAGATACCTATGTACAACAACCTCGGGAACAATCACATGACTGAGCCGGAACAACACTTTTTCCGTGCTCATTTTCCTTTCCCCAGACAGAAAAAGGTGGTCACGAGCCTCGATTTGTATACATTGAAAGTATTTTCTTGCCTCATTGCGACACAAGCATTTGTGCGGTTTTTCGGGCTCAACTGGGATCCAGCCGGTCTGTAGTCGGCCGCTGTCTGGTCCCACCGTCACCTGTATACCTTCTGACCCGAGACCGCCGTTGAGTTGCTTGGAATCGGGTGATTGAGCCGCCATAATATATTCCGGTCATCACCATAAATTCAAAGTCCAAGAGATAGATTGTTGACTATCCAAGCCGTCACTAGGATAGGCTGTCTCTCACTTCTTGTTACGTTCACATTTGCCACAAGAGCCTTGACTTTCGTTCCGTCATCGTGCATTTCTTCGAATCTGACCTTCATTTTTGATCGTTGACCCCATCGCAGCATATGGGTTTTCAGTTGACAGCATAATTTTTGACGAACACATAAACGCCAGACTTAATTGATCATGTTATCGTCCCAGCGGCTGTCTTGAGTTAGGGAAATTCGCCAACAGAGACATATGCATTGAACCAGACCGCTGAACAGATTCAATATTTCGCCAAGCGCCTTTCTTCTGCTATTTCACTTATCCCGTTTCTTGTGCAATTGATTGACGGGGGTTCATCATGGCAACTAATACTCTCCTGCCGGTTCCCATTCGGGCAATCAGGCAATCGTCAAATCTATGGCGAGGAGCCATGTTTCATGCAGTCGGATCGACTTCCGCTACCTGCGGAGGATGGCAAAGCGCCGGGTGGAAGAACATACACACTTTGACGGTATCCACTCCACCAGCTCGTCCTAGTCGCATACAAGACAGGTATGTGCATTGCCTATTCAGCTAGACATTTCATGGAGCCTAACAGGTTGCTAGGTTCGCGAGACACACGGGCTGCATGCTCCGTGGCATCATGCCTCTGTGTCACCGACCACTTGATCTACAGAGGAGATGGTCAGGCTCGAAAAGGCCGGATGATCAGATGGAGAAATCCTCTCAAAAGTGAGCATTGATATCTGCGCCTGTCGGTGCCGTTCTTGAGATTTAACCATGTGTAGTCCTCAATCCGGCCCGAAGAAGTCTCCAATCCTTTCCAAGATTCCTATTCCTACTCATGAGAACATTTACACAGTTCCCAATATCCTCACGTTTTCCCGTCTAGTTGCAGCTCCCTTGGTGGGCTACTTCCTCGTTCATGATCATCATGCCGCTGCACTATCATTATTTGTCTATGCTGGTCTCACAGACCTTGTGGACGGCTACATTGCTCGACGGTATAACCTGCAAACTGTCGTTGGTACGATTATTGATCCAATGGCCGATAAACTTTTGATGACCATTGGTGTCGCTTGCTTGGCTGTCAATGGTTCTATTCCTGGTAGGGCTCCTTCTCCTTCTATGACGCTGTTGTTATAACCTCTCAAATATCGAACGATGGGTTCTTTCCTATTTCATCTTGACAGTCACTGATTGGGAACAGTATGGCTTGCGGTAATCATTCTCGGTCGCGATGTGGGTCTTGCGTTGTCCGCAATCTACTATCGCTGGATATCTCTTCCCCCGCCAAAGACCATGGCACGATACTGGGACTTCTCCCTTCCCTCTGCAGAAGTCAAGCCAACGGGTATCTCCAAAGTCAACACAGCGTTGCAGCTTGTGCTTGTGGGTTCCGCGATCGCATTGCCTGTCATTCCAGAGGCATTCCTCGATGCATGGAATCTCCGAGAAGGAATGACGGCGTTGCAGTAAGTACCACCTGAATCCTTTTCTTTTTCGTCGTTATCGTTTTTCACCTTTATTTCCTTTGAAATTCGGAAGAGAATGCGAGGTCCCTGCGCATATGGTTGCCGTTATGTGAAATTCTAGCACGTACGACCATAGGGTGTGGAAAACAGGGCTTCCCGTCCGCTCAGCCGTACTTAAGCCACACGCCGGCCGGTTAGTAGTTGGGTGGGTGACCACCAGCGAATCCCGGCTGTTGTACGTTTTTTGGTTTTTGCAAAATCATTTTCATCTACATATCTTACTTTTTTTGCACACTTTTCTTTTCGTTAATATTCTCTATTCGTTTGCATCGCATCCTAACTTTCTACCTAGGTACCTCGTTGCAGCCACTACGATCTGGTCTGGGCTCAGTTACGTCTTTTCCAAAGACGCAGTAAAGATCCTCACTAAGGAGGAAGTACAAAAGCGCCTTGCAAGAGCCAGCGGAAAGAAGCCCTCTTGAACTTGTGCATAGTGTATAGATGATTCAGGGAAAAGTGCATGGCGTCGGCGTAGTAAAGCCGGATACTGTCGCCTCCTATGTTTCGGTTGATGGGTTACTGCACGCTGTGGTAAATATTTGCATGGTTGGAGTGTATATGACCTGCTAATGTACATACAAAGGGGCAGTAATAGATTCAATATTTGCAAATGAAGCGAAGTGCATAAGCATGAGTCTTCCGGTTTCTCGTAGCTTTTCCTCTGCGGGAGAAGATCGCGTAGCAGCCGATGAAATGGCCGATAGATGCGAAGTGATTCCGTAGGAGATAATGGTCATTGACGAACAAATATATGAACAGATATGATTGCCTTTTGAGTGTGTAACATTCGTAAAGCCGGCGAGATTGTTTGCTCACCTCGTGCGCCTTATGACAGCACATACTCCAGTAGGGTTTCTGTCAGGGCAGCTGGACATCGTGGAGTTTGGGCATGCCCTAAAGGAGAGTTCTGCTCACTGACGAGGTGAGTTCCCGGCCACCGTAGGATGCTGGAAAGATGGAAACGTGTCCCGGTTCCCCGGTTATGGTCTCATACATCAAAGGCCCGATTCGGGTTGTCAACCTTCAGGACACCCGTTCATGTCTTGGCCGGCTGGGTGGGGAACATCGCGTTCCAGTAGTCCTTGACTCGCTGACATACCCTGTCGCGGCCTTCCCAGGACCGGAACTTGGTTTCGAGCTCGCACGCCGTCCACAAGATCTCCCTCCAGAACTGCTTCTCCACATCCGTGCGGAACTTTCCAATCACCTCTTCGGGAATCGTCCACGCGCGCGTGTAGCTGCCGTCATCCTCAAAGGTCGGCTTGACGGCTTGCTCGTCGAAGACCGTGGCGGGGTTGAACTTGGGGAAGTTTGCGTGGATGAAGAAAGCGCGGGGCGCGGGAGCTTTGGAGCCGTGCACGCGCCATTCCCCCTTCTGTGTCAGGGCGTAGTCCTCGACGGGGTCGAATTGGACCATTGCGGAGCCGGCCAGGCCAGATTCGGTGCGGTGGCCCATAGCGACGATGGGCTCGCTGACTTGGTAGTACGGTTCGTCCATTGTCAGAGCGGCTGCGACGAAGGTCTCTTTGTCGCCCTCTCCTGCTGCGCCCTGTGACAGCAGTGCCCAGTAGTAATCTGGGCCCCAGAAATTGTAGTACGTGCTCAGGAGAAGCGTTTTCGAATGAGTCTTCTTGGAGAGGAGCAGCTCGCCGGATTCGGTCGACTGGCGAATGGTGTTTGGGGGCATCGGTTTCGATGCGATTTGGTAGTAGTATGACGAGATGGTGTCGGCCCAGAAATCCGGCCATGTGACCATATTCTTCGACCGGAAGGGCTCGCTCGCGAAGAGGATGTCCGGCTTTTCTAGCGGGAAGGCGTCGGCGTCCAAGAAGAGGATCTCTTCGAAAGACGAGAACATCATTGCGAAGAGCTTGAACTGATACTTCTCTATCTGCATGATCTTGGGGACTGCATCGAGAATATGCGACAGTACCACACATCGGGAATTCAGAGACGGCAGAACCACATCGCATATATACTCCTCATACTCCTCTTCGTTTGCCAAAAAGACCTCTACCGGAAGCTCTGAGCCTGTTTTCCGGAGCATTCGAAGAGAAATGACCAGGACAGGCAGGTATGAACCTCCTGCTGTCGAGACCAGGCCCCTTGTGTTGGGGACATAGTGTAGTTGCGGCGGGTTGCTCTTGATGTCATTAACAAACCCGGTATGCGCGTTCTTCATGGCCTCCACTTCACCCGGTAGCATGTCCAGATACTCCCGGCGGTCTTCCGGCTTCGCTTCCTCGAACCGTACAGACGGCGCATTGCCGAGTCGCGTGGGCGGGTCGCATTTCGGCTGGTATTTGGCCAAAAGTGGCTGGAACTGCTGCCAGAAATGAATATGACCATCGGCAGAATGCAAGACTCCAACACTGACGCTATCAACGTAGGAAGGGTTTTTGTCGCCTGACTTGACTGGGACAGATCGCCATCGCGCGAAAGACCAGGTGAAGACCGAGGCAAGAAATAGTGCAAGCAGTAGCGTTCGCACTCGCGAATATATCCGAGGTACTGCCATTGTCGTCGACGCGCGAGCGCAAAGATGAGGGTGAGCAGTCGCCTTCGCCGGCGAAGCTGAGTGATAGCCCTTTCCCAGCGAGTGCACCTCGTCGCACAAGATACGGAAGCTCAGGGGGCTGCGAAAGTTTGCGCACCCGACGCGCTAGCACCTGCGACGCCCCAGAAAGAGTTTATAAGCGCAGTGCAAGAGACATCCAAGAGCAATCACTATTGTGGAAGATTGGTAATGCGCTGACGATCAATGCAGAATTGCGGGCGTGAGTGAATATACATAGACACTGGGGTGTGGGAATAGTATGCAGAAAAAAACGAGCGAGTCCAAGGTCAAGAAAAGATGAGAGAGAGAGAGATAGATAACTAAGCTGACATTGCAATAAAAGTGAGATTAGACTGCTATATACGAGGCGTAGACTGGGGGGTTACGGGTAAGCGAACGGTTAATTAATTGGACGGGATAAAATAATCACAGCTGATGATCATCATAGAAGAGTCATGCTCCCCCGGTCTGCGGAAAGTCTGTTCTACTCACCACGTTGGTTATGATCATCGACTCAATCATAGTACGATTAAGACTTGGAGTGTTCTCCTCGTCTATTATTCTGCTTTTTGAATAGTAGATAGATAGAGAGGGATATATTATGAATTTGGAGCTCAGGAATACACGATATGTGTTGTTGTTGAGGCGAGGCCATTGAGAGTATACTGAGTAGACGTAACCTTGGTATAGTATGCCACAATGCGATATGCAATGCAAAGATCAACAAGCCCTAGTAATATTCCAGTCGCTATACCATCCCATGCGCCATGCAGTTTCCCAATAAACGTTAAACCCAATCTTAATCGTACAAGCCTCCTAGATGTTTGAACATCACGATGCATCCGGCACTCTCAAACAGATCCACGCAACACGCTCTCCGCAGAGCCTTCAATCGCGTCTGCATCGAGTGATTCTTTGCTCGTGTCCATGGTCCTGCGGACGTGCATCAGCAACCGCAGAGCACCGGCTGGCGTGACTCCTTCGATGCGCCTCGCCATTCCCACACTAACAGGGCGGACGCGCTCGAGAGCCTGTCTTTCCTCGGTACTGATGCCCTGGACCTTCGAGTAGTCCAAGTCCGGAGGCAGGATGAGGCTCTCATCCTGCAGGAATTTCCTCGCCATTGCCTCCTGCCGCTTGACATAAGGCGCGTAGCGGCCTTCGATGCTGACCCGGGTTCGGATTATGGGGTCGAATGAGGAGGGTGTATATGCCATGCCCGATGGCGACTCGATGTGGGGGATCAAAGCGTCGATGTCCACACCGTCGAGGCAGAGGAGATCGAGCGCCGAGCGGACCGAGCTATCTGTTCGAGTTTTGAATCCTTTGCGCGACCACACAGTAGAGGAGAGTTTTGTGTTGGCAAGGAGAGTCTGCAACTCCTTGATTTGCGCTTCTGTGTCGGTGAAGGAACGCCACCGCTTGTCCGAGACCACTCCGGCGTCACGGGCCATACGGGTGAGTCGTAGATCGGCATTGTCGGACCGCGTCGAAATGCGATATTCGCTTCGTGCTGTGAACATACGATAGGGCTCGGATACTCCCTTGGTGATGAGGTCGTCGATCATGATTCCGATAAATCCGTCCGACCGGGTGAGAGTGAACGGCTGTCGGCCTTGGGCAGACAGACCGGCGTTCGTACCGGCAATGATACCCTGTCCTGCAGCTTCTTCATATCCGGTTGTTCCATTGATCTGGCCTGCAAGATACAGGCCGCTGATCAGCTTTGTCTCCAGAGTCGGGCGGAGATTGCGGGGATCGATGTAGTCGTACTCCACACCATAGCCGGGCTGTAGCATGCGCACGTTCTCAAGACCGCGGACCGTGCGTAGCAGGGCATATTGTGCATCGGCCGGAATGGTCATCGAGATACCGTTCGGATAGATAACCTCATTCGGTGCGAATCCTTCCGGTTCGAGCCAGATCTGGTGCTGTTTCTTATCCGTAAAACGTATAATCTTCGATTCCAGTGAGGGGCAGTAGCGCGGCCCTCGCACGGTCTCGCGAATGTGAATCGATTTGTCAAGATTTGCGCGTACTATCTCGTGTGAAGCCTCGTTGGTGTGGGTCATCCAGCATGTAAGCTGACCCTCATCGCTAACGTCGACCGTTGTGTTCAGATACGAGAATGGTTGCGGAGGGGAGTCGCCTCTCTGAACTTCCAATGGCGAAAAGTCGATCGTTTTCATGTCCAAACGAGGAGGAGTCCCAGTCTTCAGACGACCAAGCTGAAAACCTGCTTCGCGAAGCGATTTGCTGAGCCCAAACGTAGCCGCTTCACCCATACGCCCCGAGGGGTACGCTTCAAGTCCAATGTGTATTTCTCCACCGAGAAACGTTCCAGTTGTGATGACGACACGCCCAGTAGGTATTACCTCTCCGGATTCGAGCCGTACTCCGACAATCTTGCCCTGTGATCCCGGGATGTTCTCCACCCCCTCTTTTGACACCACAATATCTGCAACCTTGCCTTCCACAATGCTCAGCCCCTCGGTAGCGACCAACTCCTCCTGCATGTACTTCTTGTAGAGATCCCGATCGATCTGAGCGCGGGGACCCCACACAGCAGGTCCCTTGGATCGATTGAGAATGCGAAACATGATACCGGCCTTGTCGATGATCCGCCCGGCCACACCGTCCATGGCATCAATTTCGCGGATCATTGTCCCTTTCCCGATTCCTCCAAAACTCGGATTGCAGGAACAAACGCCAATGTTCGAAAGCGAGGGCGTAACCAATGCGGTGCGTGCGCCTGATCGAGCCGCAGCTGCAGAGGCCTCGGAACCAGCGTGGCCTCCTCCAATAACAACGACATCGTATGCCCTACATGCCCAGAGTCAGTACCGTGCAGAGACGACTAGGATAAGGGTGCTGGGGAAAAACCATACCGGGTTCCATCAGAAACCGTGGCCATGCCTCGTGTGAGGCCGATGACCCGGGACCGAGGAGCAGAGCCCCATCGCCAAAGAGCCACTGAACGTGCCCGGAAAGCCATGATGACAGCTTTTTAGCCAGGACAACTCTACACCTGAACAATAAACTGCATTGCGGCCATGGAAAAATACTGGCGGATATCCGGATCACGTGGCTGATATTTTCTTATTGCCATTTATTTCCGAAGGCGGTGGAAAAGCGGACGTAATGCAAATAAGCAATATTGCCCATGATTTGCGCGATCACTAGTTGCGGGGCTGCTTTTTCATGCCCCGCAGGCCCTTACATGCGTTTCCTATCTTCTAATATCCTCGCGCTGATAGGATAAGACGTACTTTGTTGAGTGTGTTGACCTGTTGACTCTTATCTGAGCGCAAGAGAACTCTTTTGGCGGCCATACACAGGAAAACCATTCCACTATGAAGGCTTATTGGTTTGACAACAAACCGGTAGGTTCCATTATCCGAGACTATGGCTCCCCCTCTTATCGGGCAGAGACTGAGATTACAATAGGGCGACCAGCGGGAACCCCATGACTCTGGCCGTCCGGTGACGGTGGACTACCTTGCCTCCATTGGAGTGCAGTACTACCATTTCCCCTCCCTCGAGTCTGTCAATGAATTGGCGAAGGAACGTGGATACAAGAACCGCGATGAGATTGTCGTTTCTCCACAGACGATGGGTGATGTGTACGAGGAGAAGGTGAAGATGTTCTTCAATGAGCATCTGCACGAAGATGAGGAGATCCGCTACATCCGTGACGGCGAGGGTTACTTTGACGTGCGGGGCCAGGAGGACGAATGGGTCCGGATCAAGTTGGTGAAGGATGACTTGATCATTCTTCCCGCTGGTATCTACCATCGTTTTACCACTGATGACAAGAATGTTGGTTTCCATGACCTTATATTGTCTACGCTTCGAGTACCGACTTGCTGACTGCTTCGTCCACAGTACGTCAAGGCTATGCGCCTTTTCCAGGAAGAGCCTAAATGGACCCCTTGAACCGTGCCCCTGATGTCGATGAGAACGCTCATCGGCAGTCTTACCTCCGCACGGTCCAGAACAAGGCTGTTGCTTAGAACATTTGCTTTCCATTGATGACTTAATGCTAATTGCCAGCATGGTGAGAGGCATGGCTGATAGCGGGGCCAAGACTACCGTTTGCCATGAGATTCCGGTGCTTGTAGCTCATAACTGATGGTTTTGTATATATCATAGCAGTTCGATAGATCATGACACTTTTCACGTACAACGACTATGGAATCCCCAGGCACTTGTGAAAAACATGTCATTTTTATGTCTTTTAAGCTACCGGTCAAGATATTGACTCATGTCGTAGTTACACCACCTCCTGGCAGAGAGCCAGGCATGTGGAATTGATCGCTCAAGTTACCACTGCTCTCTTCCCGCGTCATGCTGCGGCTGCGGAGGTCCCCAGTTTCAACATTGAAGCTGCTCGTTCGGGACGCAAGGTCAAATGGCGGCCGTGCGCCCAACAGTGATCCAAACCTGAGCACCTCTGGTTCGCGAGACGAGTCCTCGTGACGGGCAGACCCGCTGGCATCCGCCGCTGTGCTACTCCGCGGCGCATTAGAGCCCGTTTCCGAATCATCGCCGGTCCGTACGCCTGTTCTGCCCATGCGAGGCCAGAGGTCTGGCAATCCCACGACCTGCACCCGAGGTTCGACAACGCGCTCCTCAAACCATGCATGAACACGAGCTTCGACCAGCTGAGCGACTTTAGGGACGTCCTGGAGTCTGCTACGAGAGCCGATCAACGACCGCACGGAGAGGTCCAGTCGATAGTCTGGAAGAAAAGAAAACGCAACGTTGCTCTTCGGACTGGTTTTCGGCGGATTTTCACCGCTGGGTTCCTCCGAGGAGCCACCTGCGCGAGAGTGACTTCCACCCGTCTGATCTTCGCGCTTTGAGCGTCCGTTCGTTGTTGTCTGGGCGGTAGGGGGAGATGGGGAATGGGATGGAGTGTCGAGTGGAGGCGTGGAAGCGGGAACGAGTGATATGCAAAGGGTCCCTGAAAAGCGGACAACAGAGATCGAGAGTGCCACGGGAAGGATGGCAGAGCATGGCTTCGGATAATTGAGAAGTAACTGCGTCTCGATAGCGATGGAGAGATTATCATCACTCAGGTCGACGTCCATCAGTGCCTGAAGCCGTCCACCGTCAGAATTTGGGTCATCAACAGCAATGATCCGGCAATTGCTGAAAATCGGAAACTCCTCCCCTAGAGATATGTCCGTCACAGTAATTTTATCTATAAATGATGGCTTCTTCTCGGGGTTATTCAGGGCCGCCGTTAGCGAGCTGAGGATGGATGATGTCGGCGAGTCCTTCAGCATATATGCCGTTTGTCTGTACTGAGCAATGGTCTGAGCTATGAGAACATTGAACCAGTCCAACGATTCTGGCTGGTGTGAAGAATGGTGTATCCTGTGTCGTCCATGTTTCGAAGTGGGATTGGTGGGGATTGCAGTGTAGTAGGTCTTTCGCAGGATGGAGCGGGTGTTGGTCGCGGAGGACGGTACCGGACGGAGGACGTTCGAGTTAGATGGCTTTTCTCTCAATGTTCTTGTGCTTCCATCATGTTGTGCGCTGCTGTAAATCGAATTGGAACGCCGATGAGTCGCCGAACGATGAGAAAGGCCGCGAGAGGGCGGAGGCGGCGCTTCGCCGAAGATGAAGAACTTGATGAAGGCAGCAATGAGAAGCACGACGGAGAGCTGTCCCAGCAAGAACCCTTGTGTAAACGATAAACTACTCCTACTTCATCAGCTATTCAGCTGCCTTAAAATGAACGGTGACCTTGACGTACGAGGACTGAGCCGGGACAGGCGTGGGGTCGTCTAGTTCAGTGTTGTCAGTCTTGGATCAAATCAACAATGGAATCGGATCAATCTCACTTAGCTGAGAAGACATTTTCAGCTGCTGTATATGTTATCGGGTGCTTTCCATAACCCCATTGCTACAACAAATGACGCTACAATTGAAGATTCCAATGTGTTGGAACCCTGGAAGATCAATGTCAAGGGTCAAAAAAGAATGACGAATGATGGACCCTGTCGGCCTCGGCCAAGGCACTAGCTAAGTTGGAGCAGCTGCTTATCACATCCGTATCGCGATTGGACTCCAAAATGACCCACGAGCTCACACCTCTGTGTAAGGACACGTTGAGCTTTCGCAGTCATCCATGTTAGATCCTTAAGAATCTGTACTATATTACCAGCTGGCTGGTTCTGCCTCGCCTCTGTGCCCATAATTAAGATGCCTCCAAACTGATTTTCCTGCTACAAAATACTCCACACAGAACGGAAATATTCAACTCGCGGAATGCAGTATCCGAGCATCAACTCACTGCTACTATGGCTTCTATGCTTTGCTCCCCCAGGTCTCGCATACGGCAGATCTTCGGAATCGCCCCCGGGCCAAATGCCATACTCCTCTCGCGAGTGCAGTCGCTGACACTCTTCGCCAACCGTCTCACCTCCTCTCGCCGTGTTTCCCCGATTCCACAGCTGAAATGCGTGGGACCGTCAAAGACCATCTGTGACAAGTACAAGATAGAGACTACGCGATGCACGAATGCTGGATACGATTACGACGAAGAAGATGTCCAGTGGACTTGCACTGCACCACTTCCAGAGGAGTTCATGTTGGGCGCAACAGATGTGATCTGCGAGGGATACCGAAATGCTGACGACAAGTGGGTGTTGAAGGGCAGCTGTGGTGTCGAGTACCGGCTACTGTTGACGGAGCGCGGGGAGAGGCGATTTGGTAAAATACAAGAGGATGACATGCAGTCCATCCCGCGCGTGACAAAAGGATGGCGCCGAGGCGTGGACGCTCTAGTCGACCTGATTTTCTTAGGGTTCTGGGCTGCGGTTCTAGTTATGATTTTGTGGCCTATGGTCCGCTCCTGTTTTGAGCTGCGAGGTCGTCGAAGAAGGACCAATGTTGGACGAGGTTGGGGCGGATTTTGGGAGGAGGAGGAGGTGGTGGTGGTGGAGGAGGAGCAGGAGGAGGAAATGACTATGGGCCTTATCCTGGGCCACCTCCTCCATACAGCAGCTTTCCAGATAGTAGTTCATGTTCTTCGCAGCCAGGGTGGAGACCGGGCTTTTGGACCGGTGCTGCGACTGGTGGCATGGCTGGCTACGAGATGGGTAGGAGAAGCAATCGGCATAGCGACAGACCGTCATCTTCTAGAAGATGGGATGACCACGAGCCTTGGAGAGAAAGCAGCACACGGCCGCGTTCCCCTCCTCGGTTATCGGCTACCACAGAGAGTACGGGATTCGGCTCAACAAGACGAAGATAATGCTTGAATCGCGGACATTAGAATTGATTTGTTCGCCCCTAATACCGCTGTCATAACCTACCTAGACGCTGCATGACGAACCTAGCATGTGTTGGACAGTCTAGTTATAATATTACAAGCTCCGATGAAGCGAGAAGCAACACCGAGGTAGACAGCAGAAAAGGCACCAGGCCGTGGTCGTAATCCCATCTCAAAGCCATGCAACACAGAGACAGCGCTAAACGCGCCCCCCCCCCCCCCCCCCCCGAATTTCTACCGAACTCCGACCAGCAAATCGCTTAAATAATCAAGGAAGGTCATCAATCGTGCCAATCACTTCTTCAGTTCCGCCTCCCATAGCTCTCATCGCCTGTCTTTTGTTGTTTCGTTTGCCCTTTACGGGCACGTTATTGGCGTTATCCAGCCCTGGTGCTGCTGCACCACCAGCCGCGCCGTCTGGATTTCGAAGCAAATCCTCCTGAGCCTGCTTTTCCTTTGCGTGTTGTTCCTCAATCCGTTTCTTCTCTTCATCCAACTCTTGCTGAACCACTCTGGGGTCATCATACACAGTATTGGTCATTTCGGAATACGTCGTGATATCAACTGTTTCCCGCGGACCCAACAGTGTTTCCTTGATTCGTTCTGGAGCGCGCCGCTCTTCGTTGTTGAATTTCAGCTTGATCTGACGTCTCGACCTTCCGGGGAACAGCTTGCTGATCATCATGAAATCGGTGCCAAACATTCGCAAGCCTCTGTAAAATAGATCCGTCATCTCTTCATCCCATGATTCTGTCTTGGACCGCTTTCCCCATGTAGCTTGGTTGATCTTCCGAGTAAGAGAGCTTTCCACCACATCCTCCAGCTCCCCCGCATTTCTCGCCGCATCTGCGTAACGGTCGACCTGGAGGGAAGCGGCATCAAGCACAATCTCTCCATTCACGATTCGCATCACAGGACCGGCCTGCGGCTTCTTGTCGAGGTCGATGTCAGGTTCCGCCCCGGGGGATGTAGCTTCCGCGCTCGGTTTGAGAGGGACTGGCGCTTGGCTCTCCTCCTCTTGTTGAGCTCGCTTGCGTTCCTGCTCAGCGAGCTCCATGTTGCGCAATTCAGTTTCCCGCTTAGACATTCTCCCTGTTCGTAAATCCTTGCACAATTCCGACATTTTGACAACTGCTGGGGCGATTTCGATGAGATCCGCTCCTTCAGGTGTTGGTTCGCGCTTTTTGCGAGACCGCTGTTGCTTCCTCTTCACCTTGCCCGCGGCATCTTCAACATTCGAGACGCGGCTCGCCCTTCTGCCTCGCGACTTCGACGCTCTTCGGGTCTGGTCGGCGTTTGCTTGCGATTCAGCTCCGTCGGTAACTTCTGTAGTTTCTTCAACCGTCGGGGGTTGGGTAGATGGGGGAGTAATGACATGGGATGGTGAAAGAGTAGGACGGGTGGATGTTGTCGACGATTCTTGAGTCAGTTTCAAGCGCTTGGATGGGCGGATCTCTGTAGCGGCCTCAACAGGTGGAAGTTTCTGAGAACTAGCCGCAGGTGTCGAGGCGTCATCGCAGCTCACAAGGTTTTGAGTGTCTTCGATACTTTGAACAATTTCCCTTTGTTTCTCTGGCCCATTCGCGTCGAGATTTGTGGGTAAGCGCTCGGTATTGGTGTTGTGATGCGCGAGAGACTGAGACGGCGCAGGTGCTTCTTCAACAGTCACGCGCCGTGTGGGAGCCGAGAAAGATGCCTTACGCTTGGAAACCGGAACGGGGATGGCTGTCACAGATTTGGATGGCGCTGAATCGGGTTTCGGGCCCCCGACGTCTCGGCGATGGGTAATTCAACATCAGCCGCAGATGCGACAGAAGGCTCCGGGACCGTAGCAGGAGGCGCGGGCTCGGCAGGAATTTTATCAAACGCTGGTTGAGTGTTTTGAGTAGTAGATGTTTGTGAAGCGGTACTATGTCTTCGCGGTGGTGCTGGGGTGGCAGAAGGGGCCGGAGGGGCGCGTCGGACAGGCGCCTTTGGAGCAAATTTCTTGCCCGACTTATCTGAAGACGGAAGCGGTCAGACGATGCAGCACGTTGTAGGAGCAGGATCCAACACTTACTGATGACAGAGCTCGAAAAAGATTTCATCCTCACAGCTCAGCATCGCTGGAGACAAATGGAACCATCAAAGTCCAGGCCGATAACAGAACTGATGCGATGGGATGGTTGGTCCAACGAATACACGTAGAGAGTGACATGCAGAAGTCTAGACTAGATGCCGTGAGTTCGTCTGAACTCTGGGGGGAAGTGGGCTCGGTCACGTGGGAGGCGCTAGGCGACGCTAAACCTCCCAGGCCGAAAATCCTCCTGGCTTCCCAAGTCTTGCTTATCACAACCACCTGCACGGCTACGCCCTTCAACGTCACTCAGAATTTGTTGTTACCTACACGGGCGGGTACTGCTGCGGTTATTGCTCCAGGCTGGTTGCTGTTCAGTGGTGACGGCCTTCATCGACTTATGTCTTTCTAGCCACTGATGCCGGCCACCGAAGCAACTCCCGTCGCATGTTCCGAGTCCGGTATCGTCAAGATGGAAGACCGGAAGAGACCTGCTACTCATGATCACAATGATTCCGCTCCACCATTGAAGAAGCAAGCTACTTCTATCAATGGTGGGAGTAAACCGCACCCAGATGCCGATATGCCTTGGAAAGACGACCTAGAAGTGAGTTGCTAACGTTTGTTACTGAACCTTCAGTTTGTAGCAGGGGGCTTCTTTTTCAGCCCACTTAGAATTCAGCTGAAGTCTGAAATGGTTCTGATGCTGACTTACACTCTGTGACAGCGATTTCAAAAAGATGCGATATGGCGGCAGATGCAAGAGTACAAACGTGAGAAGATGTCTCTGGAGACGAAAGTCAAGGAAATGTCGAAAGCTACGGCCTACCATAATGATCATTTACGTGTAATTGATGCCTGGTTCAATCAGGTAAGTATCCTCGCTCATCTTCCTTGCAGCGGCAGAGTCTCACTGTTTTTGCGATAGTTAATTGAGGAGGTCAAAACTCTCATGGGCGCGTCGAATGAAGACAAAGGTAGGCACTAACCTAGCTAGATCGTCATCTTGAGATCATCTCACTAATATTCTTCTAGATCGGCCTTCGTTTCGAAGTTCGTTGTTGTTCGAAAATATGGAAGACTTTGAGAAACATCTCAAAGCCCGGTCAGATGATATACGTGCCATTATTACTCGGTTGCAATCTTTCTCCACAAATGCGCCCCCAGAGGTTACAGATTTGCAGTCCCAACTAGCGAAGAAATTGGCCGAAGAAAAAGGTACTATTGCCGAACTTGAGAAAGCTTTGACCGAAAAACAGCAACTGGAAGAAAGCCTGGAGGCAGCGTCACTACGGTACATGGTGGCTGAGAAGAAGCTCGACCGCGCACGAAGCTTGACTGTCGCCAAATTAGAGAAGCAGTATCTCCTTGGTGCTCAGCGACCTGGCGGCGATAGTGCATCCGGAAATCGGGAAGAGCAGTCACCTGTCAACGGTGTGCCCTCGAGCGTCGAACGCAATTCCGAATTGGAAGAAGCGCATAAACAGCTTGTGGCGGTTTCGGAGAAGCAAAAGGAACAGCTGCAAAAACTTGAGACTGAGAACGCAAATCTACTAAGCCAGATTACGGAATTGAATATCAAGGTAAGGCGCTTATGGTCAGCTGTGCAAATTTCTGCTGACTGGATGTGTTGATGTAGCGTACAAAGCCCACCGACGATGATTATGCGCATACGGACTTATTTAAGCAACTGCGATCCCAATACGACGACGTTGTTAAACGAATCAATCACCTGGAAGCAACAAACATACAACTACGTGAAGAGGCCGCAAAATTACGATCTGAACGGACTGCATATCGCAACCGGGTGGATGAGGAAACCCAGAACGTTATTGCCGAAAAGGAAGCGCAATTGATGCGAGCTGAGACTGACTTAGCCCGAATTCGGAACGCCCGTGACGAGCTCTTGGCTGATCAGCAGATGCGGAAGGCTGCGCAAGAACAGGAGAAAATTGCGACAACTAAGGTTCAAGAACTTGCGGATGCTGCACAGGCTCGGATTAATGCCCTAGAATCCGAGGTAGAAAGGCTCCGCTTGCAGCTTGACAACACGAAAGCCGCGCATACAGAGATCGACGATATTCCGTTGGAAGAACTTCGTGCGAAATATCAGAATTTGGAGCGCCAGTATTCCATGCTCAACACTGAGTTGACGTCGATGCAGACCGCCTGCAAAAAGTACTCTTCGTTGGCTTCGCAAAAGGTTGCAGATTTCAGCGCTTTAGAAGAGAAGGTCGCCCGGTTGACTGCCGAAAAGTCGAAAGCGGACCAAAAGTATTTCGCTGCAATGAAGAGCAAGGAAGCACGAGAGTTGGAAGTGCGAACTTTGAGAATGCAGAACTCGAAGAGCTCAGATATTGTCTCGCAACTAAAGGAATCCGAGGCAACCACTCGCTCTCTGTTGGCCAATATGGAGAAGCAGGCTAGTGAGACGAAGGAAGCATTGAATTCGATCATCAGCAAGCATCATGCGGCTCAGCAGCAAATCGCGGAGAATAACATTGTTATCGACGGTCTCAAAGCCCAAGTCAATGAGCTCAAGGCCCTCTCGGTGTCGAAGGATTCGTCATTGGCGAGTGCTTCAAGCGCCTGTCGTAAGGCCGAGACTGAAATTGAAAGCCTGAAAGTCACTCTTGCCGATACCAAGAAGAGTCTTGAGAATTGGAAGAACAAGAGTTTGGGCAATTCATCGTCAGAGTATGAGATGTTAAGGGTAAGTCTTTCCGGCCCATGTATAAGGGACTGATACTAATTGATTGCCATTCCAGAGTCTTGCACTTTGTACTGTCTGCCGCAGAAATTTCAAGAATACTGCGATCAAGACGTGCGGTCACGTATTCTGCAAAGAATGTGTAGAAGAAAGACTCACTTCTCGATCTCGAAAGTGTCCAAATTGCAATAGATCATTCGGAAATAATGACCATATGCATATCACGCTATGAGTCCTCTCAGCAATCGTTGAGTTTCCGGTTTGGTCCTTGGTTCAGTTCAAAATTTACATTCGTGTACCATAGTTTTTATTGCCCTTCTCGTCCTCCCGATTTTCTCCCTAGCCTTTTTATTACCCTTTTTTCTTTTGCTCTCGTGTTTCACACAATCATGGAAGGTTCATGGTGCGGTGTTTTTGCTCTACAAGGTTTAGCAGGATAGGGTCTCACTGGGGCCGGCGTTTTGATTTGCTGTTACGCTTTCCGAGCAAGATTTCCCGTTGCATAACGATCTGGCCAGACATGGTGGTTGTCCAGTCTTTGGCTTCAACTTTTTTCTTTACACCATTTTCCTTGTGTCTTGCTCTCTTTCAGGAGGAAGAGAGACTGTTTGGATACCCACTTCTGTGTTGCGAGTAGCACCGGTGGTGGGGAGCCGGGATGCGAGATGTAGGATTACCTAGTACGAGATGATGAATGCACCATGCTCATGCGGTCATGGCCTTAATGATGTCGTTTGACTTTCTTGTGGTAGACAGTTCTCTATGTAGTGTTGTTCAAATGTTTATGAATTGAATATTCTGCTATAGAGAAGCTCATGCCGCCCTACCCAGAGGTCTAAAGGAGGGACGATTTGACCCGCATCCTCTACTGCGGTGTCCCATTCTCGGTCGATCCGTTCTGAAATCATAGCTTGCAGGGGCTTGCTGGCTAGGACGCTTTGCGCCTGATATGGCCCCATCACAGATGCGCGAACTGCAGCACTGAGAACTGCTTTGGCATGATTCAGCATGAAAACATACGCCGTCTGCCGGAGATCGACACCCATAGCAAGGCATACAATGCCCCATAGAGGAGCAAGATGGCCTTTCGGCCCTAATTCATCAGCAGTGCCAACCCAAGATTTGAGAGCGTCGGAGAAGCTCTCAATCATTTGCACGGCCTTTGCAGCGTCCGTCCCGCCGACAGACGGTCCCGAGGCATATGCGCTTCGAAATGATCGCTCCCAGACGCCAAGTAACGCCCTTCCCTGCGCGACACTTGCCCTCTGAGCAACTATACACGGCGTCGAGGCGTCCAGATCGTTGTCTAGTGTCTCTAGTTCTCCTGGGTTCCTATAGGCTGCAAGGACGTACGGGAGAGATGTGCTTGCGATTGACGCAATTGACAATTTGAGGAAGTGATGGAACGATGCGCTTGTTGTCACCGAGCGAGGCAAGGGTTTATTGTGGGCTAGGTAGGACTCCAGACCGCTGGAGTAGGCAAAGGAGCCCAGTGGGAGGGCGGAATCTGACAGGAGGAGTAATGCGTGGTTTGGTGGAAGGTATGGTTCGTCTATTTTCGATGTCAGTCTTCAGGTACGACAATCATGGCCGTCGCAGGGTAGTTGTCACGGACCATTGAAGGGCAATTCCCTTGCACCCTCTGGGCGGGCTAATGTTAGGCGTGTGCGGGCATTGCGCAAACGGCACTCGAGATCTGCGATCTCTTTCTCCAAAGCTTGTATACTGTTCTTCCCATTCATTCGGACATTCCTCAGTGTGTTAACAGAGAAAAGGAGGAGGACGATGTTTGCGCGACGAGCTCCTCCTCCATACCATTAGACCGAAGCATAAATATGCCCGCTTCTTATCTCTATGACCAAATCCACTGATAAGCTCGTCCGAACATCGGAGTTGCCCGTCTCCGGCGGTGGATGTCGGCAGAAAAAGGCGGATGCGAGAGAAACGAGGCAAGTAAGCAATAGTCGTCCGATGCGAGCTTCTGATCACTTTTCCGCATGTTGATGTTACTCTCTGCATTACATTATGATAAAGCTAGACCTGGAGCTACTACTGACGAGATAGTCTATATATTATGTCAGGAAAGCGTCTTCTGGATGCTATCCAATTATTCAATGTCGCGAAATCAGTTGCGACGAAACACCTTACGCTGCGGCAACGGCAGCTAGACACCTTTACACGGACTTCTTCCCTCACTAAGGGTATCCAGAGGCAGACTGAGGGTTTAATACTAACAGCTCAAGCTGCAGCTGCTCTAGCAAAGCGATTTGATGAACCTTCCACTTCCGAAACTGCGCCGAAAACCCAGCCCACCAGCACGCCTGCGCCCTCCCGGCCAACGAATGCGGAAGCCCGTTCCGGTCTCTCTCCGGGCGAAGCGAAGAAAGCTCAACGACAGGCTGAGTTTCAAATTTCGTCATCGGCTGCGGAGCACACTGTGAACAATGGCTCGAGTACATTGAATGTCAGCGAACAACAGGATGTCTTTTATCAGCGTTCTCAAGAGTCGACGCCGGGATTGTCGGGGCTTCCTCGAGTGAAGCTGCCAAAGACCATCAATGACACGCAAGTGAATGTGGATAGCTCTCTTAATGCGGACGTCTTCCACTCGCCTGTGAACACTGAGAAGCCTGTGTCCGAGGAAGTGTCTACTACGGAACAGCAAGATGTGTCGGAGGAGATGATGAAGGAAATTTTCCACAGTCCCAAGGTTGCCAGAATACTTTCCAAGAAAGCAGCCTCGGATATAAAGAGTCCGGATTGGAGAGCTAAAGGTTTTTCCGAAAGTTCGATCAGTCGAAGGACAGCCTCGGCTCCTGTCGAGAATGGCAAGGTAACTGATAAGGAAGACATGGAAAAGATTGGGGCCAGCATTGCTGAAGACGTTGCCGTGGTACGTCGCCTAGTCGAGTGGAATGGCACAAAACACTTGTTGATATTTTGATAGAAAGATCGCCTGATCGCAGCGGAGCTCAAGCAAAGCGATACCTATAAGATGACTGAATCTCGTGTTCCGTCGTCGCGGTTAGGTCGATTGTGGCAATACAGTGGACTGGCTACCTCGATGGCGTTTGGAGCCGTGGGTGAGGGCCTGCGAAGGATGACTGGGAGCAAAGAAGACTATGCTGGGTCTATAATGTTCAGTCCTGGAAACATGGAACGACTTGTGGCCAAACTCTCAAAAATGCGAGGAGCAGCTCTCAAACTGGGGCAGATGTTGAGTTTTCAGGGTTAGTACTCGGAGTTACTTATTCATTGCGTTGTGGTGGACACTAATTCTTTTTAGATAACAAAATGCTTCCAGAGGCTATTCATCAGGTTTTGCAGCGAGTGCAAGATCGAGCAGACTATATGCCAGCGTCTCAACGAGACAAAGTCTTGGCTGATAACCTTGGACCCAACTGGCGGGATCTTTTCTCTACGTTCGAGGAAGTTCCAATGGCAGCAGCTTCGATTGGACAAGTTCACGGAGCGGTGCTCAAGAGGACCGGCCAGCCAGTTGCCGTTAAAGTACAGTATCCGGGTGTTGCTGACTCCATTGACTCCGACTTGAACAACCTTTCCATCCTTCTGACGGCATCCCGTCTTCTTCCGAGAGGTCTTTATCTGGACAAGACGATTGCAAACGCACGGACCGAACTCGCGTGGGAATGCGACTATATCCGAGAAGCCGAGTGCGGCAACCGTTTCAGAGAGCTCGTAAAGGACGACCCCGTTTTCTTGGTTCCAGAGATTATCCCGGAGGCTTCAGGAAAACAAGTCCTGACCATGGAACGTCTGGAAGGCATTGCAGTCACCAAGATCCATGACTTCACCCAGGCGCAACGTGACTGGATCGGCACGCAGCTTCTACGCCTATCCCTCCGCGAGATCACCGAGTTCCGCTTTATGCAGACAGATCCCAACTGGACCAACTTCCTCTACAATGCGAAGACCAATAAGCTGGAACTTCTTGACTTTGGTGCTTCTCGCGAGTACCCTATCGAATTCATCTCGAAATATATCAGAACACTTATCGCCGCTTCTCGCAACGACCGGGAACGCTGCCACAGCCTCTCAATCGAACTGGGCTACCTGACTGGTCATGAGTCAAAGGCCATGGTAGACGCCCATGTTTCTTCGATATTGACACTTGCCGAACCGTTCATGGATTCTTCGCCAGACGTCTACGATTTCCGGAATCAGACCATCACGGACCGAGTGCGGAGTTTGATCCCTGTTATGATTCGGGAGCGACTCGCACCTCCGCCGGAGGAAACCTACAGCTTGCATCGCAAGCTCAGCGGAGCCTTCCTGCTCTGTGCGAGATTGGGAAGCCAAGTACGATGCAAGGAGCTGTTTGCAGACGCGGTCCAGAAGGCAGAGAAGTCTGGGCTCGACGTTGGGTTGACTCGGAAATAGACCGGGAGGGAGTATGGTGGTGCTTGCCGTACCTTGCCATGCTATGTATTACTATAGAAGGCCAAAGTCTACTCTTGTAAAATAGATCATGTAAAACGAGGGCCTTGATATCATAGAACAAAGATTCTTTTCAATGTTGAACTGCTCTGTCTGGAGACTATTCTTGCCTTCCATTCAAAGCGCAATGTAATCCGTTTCCAGTCGTCGCTCGCTTCCCATCCCATAGCGAAGATAGTGATATCCAGGCGATCCTGTTCCGCATTTCCCAGCAGATCTCAAAGACGTCGTCAACTTCGTCCCAGCCACCTTAGACCTTGGAATGTACGTTCCAGATTAAATTCGCGATGGTCTTCAGATCCGATTCGTCCAGGACAATGTCCCCTTCGCCAGGATTGGCGGGCCGAAGGAAAAAGTGCTCGAAGGGTAGGGTTAGAGGGTATCCTGTCACACGAATGGGGTCGTTGTCTGTCTTCTGGGACATGACAGCCCGCTGAGTTATTTCAGGGACCTTCTTGTTTTGGTCCTGTCTTGTTTCCCGTGGGATTAATTGCCATTTCTCGATAACGACTCCTCTTCTTGTTTGGTGAACAAAAATGGTAAGAGCTGTTTTCACATCACCACCTGCTTCCAACAACCACCAGCGAGCGTCATCCGCGAGCTTCGACCCTGGCTGAGAGTACGAGTACGCGCATTGGATCACCACTGTAGGCCAGTGGTCAGAACGGGGTTGCGGAAGGACTATGGGACGGTACGTCTGGTCGGCTTTCTTCGTGCGCCCGTTAGATGTAATCGCGACTTGTCCTGTCAGTTGTAGCCCCAAGTCCAGCCCATTCATAAATGCACACTTGCGGATGATCATAGTATGGAGGGCATTGTGTGCCTGCTCATGAGCTGCTGTGGTCATCCTCACGAGAAGTAGAGCAAGGTCTGGAATATATTCAAAAAACGAACAGGTGAAAAGCTTCTTGCATAGATTGGGACTTGAGAAAGTCTCTGAAAATGTTTGCTCGTCAACATTAGAAATGATAATATACTGGCTTCTACAGCCAGTCGTGTCTTCCTCCAAGGCGTGATATTCACTGTCAAGGACTTTAAGGAAATCTTGTTCTCCGCAGTACTGGTATTCACTGGTTTCAGGACTAACACGGAATAGCTGCTGATAGCTATTCTGCCTACCTGCTCTCACTGCCATTGTGACTGAGTAGCTGGCTTCGATGGTATCTGTTTGTAGTAAAAGGTAGATGAGGTCAAAGTCAGGGTACCTCTATAGCATAATCATAAGAACCCCAAAGGAATCGTTCTGGTGGTAAAAGGTAGATGATGTCAAAGTAGGGTACCTACTTCTATAGTCATGAGAACCCCAAATGAATTGTTCTGGTTACTTTCTGTCTGTCCATGGTTTTGCAGCAGTCTTTATGTCTAGAGGTATTTGGGTTCACATATACTCTTGTAAGGTGTAGAATATGATGTCGCTATATCTCCCAAGAGTACCTGGTCACTACACTATGAAAGTTACTACATATGGTAGACCTTAGCAATTTGTAACTCCCATATAGTTTCCATAACCCAATATGCAAGGTAAATTTATAGCATCATATGACATATCAAGACTGTGAGCTCGGTCTTTGTCTGCGTTAAGAAGAGGTTCAAAGGAGAGCGTTAACTTGTATGTCTCGTGGGAGATGGGATAATCAAGAATGGCAGCCTTCCTGAGCACGGCGGTATCTGTACAACCATCGATAGTTATACCGGTGTCTGATGTGTCGCGAAATGCGTCAATGAGCCTACCGACAAGGCTTGTGCAGCTCTCGAGTAAAGTCAGGCGCATCGTGTGCTCATATCGATTTTGCACGATGCATGTTCTCGCCGTATATCTGCATGAATACATGATATCAAGTCTCTGATAGGAAGTAGGCCAGGTCAAGGACAGAAAGTACACTATCCATGGATCGGTGGTATCCTATTATGAGTATCGTGATATAGCGCTACGCCGACGACCACGGGATTTGTGGTTTCACGAGTACTGCATGCAGGCTGATTTCAAAGCAGCCTAAATCTATGTTTATTTGATGAAAGTGGGTGCAGTCGGGCAGCTGGATTAGGTAAATTTCCACGGGCAGCGCAAGGAACCGAGGAAAATGAATTCCGCAGTGCAGATGAGAAGATGGCGCCATGTTGTGATTATTAATGAGCTTTTTCGACGATGGTGACAAGACACCTAACTATGACTCTACCTTAATGGGGATGGATGATTGGGTGTTCGGGGAGATTTAGACGGCCTGTTCGAGGGGTTTTTGCGACCTCGTTGTTCTGTATCTACATGAAGCGGTGTATCTGTAAGCATGCGGAGTAAAGTGGATGATTCGTAATACTAATGATGGGTGACAGACGCCCTTAAATATGATGGATCTCAAAAAAAAAAGGTTTACCACGTCAGTGCACCATATCGGAAACTAAAGAAGATGCATAAACCGTAACCTATCAACTGTCAGAAAGCGATCAAGAATGATGCATGATTCAAGAGAACCATGCATGATGCAGCTTGACTCGGCAGTTCATGGTACATAATGAAACAAAACATCGACCCGATACCCGATGGATCTCGGCGACTTTTCAGGGTTTCGGCTTCTAAATTTGCACCATCCAATCATTACAATTATTCACCTAAATTCTTTCTGCATTGTAATCATCATTCGTATTTCTTCGTTGATTGCTGTCCTGTTTTCCCTTTTGGGCCAGCTCCACCACCTCCAAGCTAGTTTTTATAAGTCGCTGAAATGAAGCGATTGATTGATAATCAGTCAACAACGGTTCCTGATTTAAGCGTCCCACATTATAGATACAGCTTCCTTATCGAACGTTCGAACCGCATGGAAGGTGCCCGACTAGATGCCCCTGATTAGGCGCACATGGTGATCAGTGCGTATTGGAAATCCGCATCATCTGCGACCAGGTATCACCGTTATTACCTTACCCTAGAAGCAGATACTGAAGGTGACTAGTAATGCGTCAATGGCTGACCTTGAGGACTCTCTTCCATGTGAGCCAAGGCTCCGATAAGCTGACACAAGGATCTGCCTCACTAAATAGTAAATACAGAGGTCTAGAAAGGCGGAGACCAGAAAAGGGAAAAGGAGAAAAGAGTGGCGTCAGCACTAAGCTTGATGTTAATCTAACGCCGTCTGCTTATCTCCGACTCATGTGGGTCGCGATGGTTGATGACATAACGAATATGAAATAGTTACGCCAACTATAAGAAAGGTTAGGTTTAGAACACAGTGAGCGGATGAGTCAATATTCTATAGATGATATGATAATGGATGCGTACTACAGTCTCCAATCAAAGCTCTGTCGAATTGTTTCTCCTACTGCTAGCATCCGTGTGGTGATATTGATGCCAACTACTCCGTAGTAGGTGCAGTATGTAGATGCCGCTGCATAGATGTGGAGTCCTTAGAAATCGGGCTGTTCCGAAGTTTTGCCAAAACCGTCTGCATCTGCTTTGGTAATTTTTCCTCTGTCCAATCAAATTCCCGGGATTACTGGCACGAGTCATGTTGGATCGTGCATAACTCATCATGAGTCAGGAAGATTCAGGCTTCCAGGCATACACTTGGGCATTTTGCATGAACGAAATCGATGGAAACTTGGGGTCCCACTTCTGCTTCAACTTCTGAACTTTTTCCTTGTCTTCCGCAAGCTCCACCGTACTTCTCGTCCGGTGATTATTCGCTATCTCCGTCTGGTTCTTCCATGACTCCCCATGAGTCTATCTGCCTCCTTTTCCAACTAGGTGGGCCCTGTTTTGCGCAAGCCTTACAAATCAACTAATTTTTTTTTGTCTCTTTCGATCTTGATGTCGCTAACGGACTTTAGTAATAATCTGGACCCTGGGAGATCACCGATATATAAGTCTCGACGAAATGACGCCCCGAGTCTCTCTGTCGCTGTGTTATATTCGGTGCCGTTGCTGTGTTTCTTAGATCCTCTCCACTCCTGGTGCATTGGACTGGTATCGCCTCTCCAAATTGAACAGTAAACGGTGTTGATTCCACTTATTCTTTTGATATCCCATCTATTTCTTCAACCCTTCTTTCGGTTTCCTGTACATACCTACCTTCGACTTTCTCTTTTGTCCGTCCTAGTCGAACAGAGGAATCTATTGAGTCGATTCCTCTCTGAATATAAGACGAATACTTCAGCCTGCACAATCTAGTCCACATCTCCATAGTTTACAACAAGAAGGTATACGCGTCAACAGCGAGATGGCGGACGGCTCTCGTCTGCCAGAATTGGCAACCAACACAACAATGGAACACAACAACCATGAGCACGCAGAGGTCTCCGGTCCAGATGCGGAAACTGTACACTCCTCATCGGTGACAGCAACCTCTTCTGAATTGAGCCTCGATGGCCGGTGGGGAGAGCGGGATCAAGGGGAGCCTGTTTCGCGCCGTGGCGCCATGGAGGATTTTGAGGAGATGAGGAGGGAACTGACCCAACTGAGTCTGAGACGAACGCGGTCGGTGGGAAAGGATGCCCATCGATTGCGGTCCCGGGCCTCCGGGCGAGCCAGTCAAGTTCGCGATGAAGAGAAGGCGATCGACGAGGAGGATTCGACGATTGACGGTGACGGTGACGGTGACGGTTACCAGGGTGGGTTCGACCTCGGCGAGTTCCTGATGGGTGGTCATCTGGAACGGAGAACGACCACAGGAGAGCCGGCGAAGAAGGTCGGTGTCCATTTCAAAAATCTCACGGTGAAAGGTGTCGAGACCGGAGCGTCCTTTGTGCGGACTTTGCCGGATGCTGTTGTTGGCACATTTGGCCCGGATCTGTACAGAATCGTCTGTAGCTTCATCCCACAATTGCGCTTTGGGAAACAGCCTCCGGTGCGAGAACTGCTGCATGATTTCACCGGTCTAGTCCGAGAAGGCGAGATGATGCTGGTTCTGGGCAGGCCTGGCGCTGGTTGCTCTACCTTCCTGAAAACGATTGCAAACGACCGGGGTGCCTTTGCCGGTGTGGAGGGTGAGGTCCGGTATGGCGGTCTCTCTGCCGAAGAGCAACTGAAGCACTTCCGTGGCGAGGTCAACTACAACCCGGAAGACGACCAGCACTTCCCGAGCCTGACCGTGTGGCAGACCTTGAAGTTTTCTTTGATCAACAAGACCAAAAAGCACGACAAGGCCAGCATTCCCATCATCATTGACGCTCTCTTGAAGATGTTCGGCATTATGCACACTAAGAATACGCTTGTGGGTAATGAGTATGTCCGTGGTGTGTCCGGAGGCGAGAGGAAGCGTGTCAGTATCGCCGAAACCCTGGCGACCAAGTCGTCGGTTGTTTGCTGGGATAACTCCACCAGAGGTTTAGACGCCAGTACGGCTTTGGATTATGCCAAGTCTCTCCGGATCATGACCGACGTCAGCAAACGTACTACATTTGTGACCCTCTACCAAGCCGGAGAGAGTATCTACGAACTCATGGACAAGGTCCTGGTCATTGATTCCGGACGCATGCTCTATCAGGGCCCTGCGAACAAGGCGCGCGAGTACTTTGTGAACCTCGGCTTCTACTGCCCAGAGAAATCGTATGTCTCTCTGTTCCCTCACATGAAACTTGCCGTTCGCTAACCCGCTGCTAGGACAACTGCTGATTTTCTTACTTCAATCTGCGACCCTAACGCCCGTCAATTCCAGCCCGGCCGAGAGGCTTCTACCCCCAAGACCCCTGAGGAGCTTGAGGCCGTCTTCAGAAATAGTGAGACTTACAAGACTATCTGCGACGAGGTGGCTAGCTATGAGAAGAAGCTTCAGGATACGGATCAGGAGGATACCCGCCTCTTCCAGAAGACCGTTGCCCAATGTAAGTTTGCGACACCCCCTAGTACATGCTTACCGAAGACTAATTCCCTTCAGCCAAAAGTAAGACGGTGTCGAAAAGGTCCAGCTACACGGTTTCGTTTGTTCGTCAGGTCCTGGCTTGCGTGCAGCGTGAGTTTTGGCTCCTGTGGGGTGACAAGACATCCCTCTATACCAAGTACTTTATCATCATTTCCAATGCCCTGATCGTCTCTTCTCTGTTCTACGGCGAGTCCCTCGACACCAGTGGTGCATTCTCCCGTGGAGGTGCGCTCTTCTTCTCGATTCTGTTCCTCGGTTGGTTGCAATTGACGGAGTTGATGCCCGCCGTTACCGGACGAGGCATTGTTGCCCGTCACAAGGAGTACGCGTTCTACCGACCATCTGCCGTGTCGATTGCTCGAGTGGTGATGGATTTCCCTGCTATCTTCTGCATGGTCGTCCCGTTTACGATCATCATGTATTTCATGACAGGGCTCGACGTGACCGCTTCGAAATTCTTCATCTACTTCTTGTTCGTCTACACCACTACATTCTCCATCACTTCGTTGTACCGCATGTTCGCTGCGCTCTCACCCACTATCGATGACGCCGTTCGCTTCAGTGGCATTGCTCTGAACATACTTATCGTCTTCGTTGGTTACGTCATTCCCAAGCAGGGTTTGATCGACGGCTCGATCTGGTTTGGGTGGCTCTTTTACGTGAACCCTCTCTCGTACAGTTATGAGGCCGTCTTGACGAATGAGTTTTCCGATCGTATCATGGACTGTGCGCCGTCACAGCTGGTACCCCAGGGTCCCGGTGTCGATCCCAGATATCAGGGCTGTGCTCTTCCCGGGTCTGAGCTGGGTCGCAGAGGCGTCTCGGGTAGCCGGTACCTGGAGGAGTCCTTCCAGTTCACTCGCAGCCATCTCTGGCGCAACTTTGGTGTCGTCGTCGCTTTCACTGTGCTGTATCTCACAGTCACGGTGCTTGCCGCTGAGTTCCTTTCCTTCGTCGGCGGTGGTGGCGGTGCTCTTGTCTTTAAACGATCGAAACGTGCCAAGAAACTGGCCACCCAGACGACCCAGGGCAATGATGAGGAAAAGGTTCAGGACGCTGGCGACAAGGCTGCGCTGTCGCGCGGAGAGGCGACGTCCGCGAGCAATGGCGAAACCTTCAAACGCATCTCTTCCAGCGACAGAATCTTCACCTGGTCGAACGTCGAATACACGGTACCTTATGGCAACGGAACCAGAAAGCTCCTGAATGGTGTCAATGGATACGCAAAGCCTGGAGTCATGATCGCTCTGATGGGTGCTTCAGGTGCCGGTAAGACGACACTCCTTAACACCTTGGCCCAGCGTCAGAAGATGGGTGTGGTGACTGGCGATATGCTTGTCGACGGTCGTCCTCTGGGCGCCGATTTCCAACGGGGCACTGGCTTCTGTGAACAAATGGATCTTCACGACAACACATCTACCATCCGCGAAGCTCTGGAGTTTTCGGCCCTGCTCCGTCAGGACAGGAACACTCCCAAACAGGAGAAGCTCGACTACGTCGACCAGATCATCGATCTGTTGGAGTTGAATGATATCCAAGACGCCATCATCGGTTCTCTCAACGTGGAGCAGAAGAAGCGGGTGACAATCGGTGTTGAGCTTGCAGCCAAGCCCAGTCTACTCCTGTTTCTGGATGAACCTACGTCTGGTTTAGACAGTCAAGCGGCGTTTTCGATTGTCCGATTCCTGAAGAAACTCTCCCAGGCCGGACAGGCCATTCTTTGCACCATCCACCAACCCTCGTCCATGTTGATCCAGCAGTTCGATATGATTCTCGCCCTGAACCCCGGTGGTAACACCTTCTATTTCGGTCCAGTTGGCCACGAGGGTCGCGACGTGATCAAGTATTTCGCAGATCGTGGCGTCGTCTGCCCTCCGTCGAAGAACGTGGCTGAATTCATCCTCGAGACGGCCGCCAAGGCAACAACGACAAAGGACGGCAAGAAGATCGACTGGAACGAAGAATGGAGGAACTCGGAGCAGAACCAGCGGGTCCTGGACGAAATTCAGCAGATCCGCGAAGAGCGTAGCAAGATTCCCATAACCGAGACAGGAAGCCCCTACGAATTCGCCGCGCCCACGATGACGCAGACTCTACTTCTCACGGAACGTATCTTCAAACAGTACTGGCGCGACCCGTCGTACTACTATGGAAAGTTGTTCGTCAGCGTCATCATCGGTATCTTCAACGGGTTCACCTTCTGGATGCTCGGCAACTCGATCGCCAACATGCAGGACCGCATGTTCTCCATCTTCCTGATCATCATGATCCCCCCCGTCGTCCTCAACAGCATCGTGCCTAAGTTCTACATCAACCGCGCCCTCTGGGAGGCCCGCGAGTACCCCAGCCGTATCTACGGCTGGTTCGCCTTCTGCACCGCCAACATCGTCTGCGAGATCCCCATGGCCATCGTCTCGAGCCTCATCTACTGGCTGCTCTGGTACTACCCCGTCGGCTTCCCCACAGACTCCAGCACCGCAGGCTACGTCTTCCTCATGTCGATGCTCTTCTTCCTCTTCATGTCCAGCTGGGGCCAATGGATTTGCGCCTTTGCGCCGTCGTTCACCGTCATCTCCAACGTAAGTCCACCCGCCCCCCCTTTTATCACCCGCTCTAACTCTAACCCGTCAACAGGTCCTCCCCTTCTTCTTCGTCATGTGCAACCTCTTCAACGGCATCGTCCGTCCCTACCGCGACTACCCCGTCTTCTGGAAATACTGGATGTACTACGTCAACCCGGTCACCTGGTGGCTCCGCGGCGTCATCTCCTCCATCTTCCCCACCGTGCAGATCGACTGCGCGCCCTCGGAAACAACCCACTTCAACCCGCCCCGGGCCAGACCTGCGCCAACTACGCAGGCAACTTCATCGCAAACGTCGCCAAGAACGGGTACCTGCTCAACCCCGACGCCAGCGCAGACTGCCAGTACTGCCCGTACAGCAACGGCGCAGAGTACATGGCCACGCTGAACGTGCACGACGGCGACAAGTGGCGCTGTTTCGGGATCTTCTTGGCCTTTGTGATTATTAATTGGCTGTTGGTCTATTTCTTTATCTATACAGTGCGTGTGAGGGGCTGGTCGTTTGGTATGGGGTATTTGTTTGGGGGATGGGGTTGGTTATTGATAAGGTCAAGGGGGTTTTTAGGAGGAAGTCGGAGAAGGCATGAGGATGAGGACATAGGACCCAGATGCAAGGATGAGATCAAAGTGATCTCAGTGAGGGGTCGTAAAAGCATTTCTGTTGGATCATGATATTGATTTAGCGATATCCATTCTGCATACATAGAGCAATAATAATGCATAGACAAGCGTTCTTCATAAATCATCTTCAATTCTCAAATCCCAAAACTACACTGTCCATCACAGATAGTACTAAAAAAACCAAGGCTTCAGACCCGGACCGTATCGTCGCCCAGGAACCGTCATCGGCACGGGGACAGTATCTCTGAAAACATCCAGCATATCCGCCGATTCGGTTGCCGCTTTACCACTGCCGTTATCCGAGGCTTTGTCCGATGGATTGTCTTTGTCGAGGACAGGGACAAGGACACCGCATTCCCAGTTCCGGCAGTTGAGCTTGGGCTGCTTGGTTGTTCTATCTTGGACGAGACGGCCCCTTTGCGTCTAGCATTAGAATGCTTTCTATTGTGTTTAATGGGGTCAGGTTGCACTCACCACGCGCTTTCTGAGAGATTCGCACTCCCCACGTACGCCCACCCTCGACACTGTGCGTTATTCGGTAATCGTATCGGCTCATCCGGTCTTATGAATAGGATCTATAGAGCAAGATTGTCTCAGTTGGTATATGATCTTGCGACTGGGAGGAAGGACGTACCTTGTTATGCATCAGAAGCCCGGGCCGCCGACTCTTACAGTCGCGCAGCACATGGCGCGGGAATTTGGAACCCTCGTACCATTTCGACTGGAAGCAGATTGTGCCGGCGCAGTCTGGGCCGCCTCGCGATTGCTCGATGGTCGTCTGTGAGGGGAAGTAGACCCGGAAGCGATCTTTCCATTCTTCAGCGGTGTTTTTGTGAATGAGTTGGTTCCTGTCGTTGGAATTGCGCGCGGGGAAGGTCTTGGAGGTTCGGAGGGTGAAGTCGGTTATACCGTCGTCTCCTGGGAGGTTTTTAGTCTCCTGTCTGGATGGAGCGGAAGGAGCGCTTACCTTGCGAAGCGAGATATATTGATCTTAGAAATTCGTCGGTGAGTGACCCTACCGAGGATGCCTTTGCGAGATTAGTCGAGAGAGTCTGGAGCTTGCTGGGCCATGGACTGTACATACGACGAAATCGATATTGATCGGCTTGGAAGTTCGCAATCCTAATGCATTGACTGCGCGTCCCAAGCCGCAGTATCCCGTTCTTCTCCATGCATTTCCTGTGTGTGACCCTCCGCTGTACAGCATTAGTAGCCGTCTAGAATAGCGCGAAGGACGCTTACATAGTGTGAACTAGCATAATATGAGAAGTCTGACTGAAGTCGAACTCGTCGAGTCTGGAAATGATGTTCTCATCCAAAGTACTTGCTCTCAGGAAGTAGACCAGGTCTTCCTCAAAGGCGGTCTTGGAGCCCACAGAAGTTGTAGCTGCCTTCCGGGGAAGATCGATGAGAAAAGCACTCTAAGCTAGAGTCAGCAATGGTTCTGTAGATAGCTGGTCATCCCTACGTTTTCCATCACGCCTCCCATCTCACCCCAATCATATGGTGTCAGATTCGCAGTCGGAGCTACAATTCGTAGGTACCCCGGGTGAAAGAGTAGCATCAGTTTCGAGTGCATGCAGTTCACCTGTCCCTCCATGGATGGAAAGCACAATCTCAGGTTGCTCATCGACGCGGTTTCTGCCTCATATTGACGTTTCTGGTATCCCACTTTATCAGTTATGTATTTCAAGGAAAAACAGACAGGGGGTCAATCACCGTCAACTCATCTTTAGCCTGCATTACCAGGAGAAAACGAGTGCTTTTCGTATCGACCTTCGAAAAGAGCCATTCAATGTCCCACATAAATGAGCTCAAAATGGCCAGCTCTAAATCACTTCTCTGGAAGACCTCCTCGATTGTGATATCGTCACCTGTCCGTGGGCAATACTGTGCGTAAGTCTTTTTGACAACTCCCTTTGGGAACTGTACACCTGGTGTCCGAGAAGGATTGGGCAGGCGTGGTTTTGACTCAACAGTGTCGTGCCTGGCCTGAGGAACGCCAATCGTAGATGCATAGCCTGCCGATACCGAACCACTGCTGCTTTGACGTGCCGGCTGGCTCGATTCGTTCTTGGAATATTTGGCCTGACGATGATCAATGGCCCCAACTTCCTCCGCTTTTCTCTTCGCGATGCGGGCGAGGCGTTCTTCCTCCATCTGCTTGCGATTCAGGCCCAGGAGCCCTGATGATTGCGAAGCTGCATGCTCTGCTGCAGAACTTTCTGTCTCTGGTAGTGGGCCATGTTCTTTGTTACCGTGTGATGGATTAGGTGGGTTCTTTTCTGTATCCTCAGAGTCTTTCAGGGACAACGCAATGGCTCTTTTCAGATCCTCATCTTCATCATCTTCGCCTTCAACATCAACTCCATCCTCATCAGCATCTGTATCAGATCCAATAACTGATTTGGACTTTGGGAAAATAGGAATGACTTCATCGTCTGACTCTGCAGTAAGATCGACGACATTTTGTTGAGGTTCATCAGCTGGACTAACACCATTATCGTGAAGGTCCCTCAATGAGGCTGCGATGGCTGCTTTAAGGTCGGGGTCTGTTAAATCTTCTGGCTCCATTTCCAGTTGGCCCAGAATCTCAGACTGCAATGAGCGGGATATTTTAACGATGCAGAAATGAGACAAAACCGAAACCAGCGATTTAGTAGACACGAGACACTCCCAAAATTAAGAGGTTTCAAATGAGATGCAATGTAGCTCTTGTTGTCGACTCCTGGGAGACCATGCTGCGATTGTTTATGGTAAGATGTCACATAAACGGATTCAGACACCACGCGTCCCACCAAGCTGTGTCCAGTTGGCACTGTCGCTATGACACCTGGTGAATGTGTATTATATTGACAAAATAGACAACAAGCAACGACAACGAAGAAATGTAGAAATCATGCAAAGTCACAACTGGTGGCCAGGCTTATTCTGCTCCTTGAACCTCAGAGACACGTGACCATCTCTGGTGCTGAAGATCAAGAGGACATCTAGAGTGTGTCCCTAGCTATGGCATCTATAAATCGAGTCTGCTGAAAATGAGGTCTGTAATGTACTCTACGAAGATACAGGCAGATTATCTAGTAGAAGCTTGAGTATAAGCTCTCAAGCTTCTACAGTGAGAGATGATATTTAAAATGTTCAACACAAAGATCAAAGTGGCATAAAAGTCAGCATGAATATGCTCATATGATAAAGCAGTCAGTTCAGATTTGTTTGTATTGATCCCAATCTGAAGTGATAGAGCTTTTACCGTCCCTGACACAAGAGCTCTCGGCGCAACAACAAACGCACATCTCCTCACTCCTTTCTCTCAAAGGATTCACAACTGTCCCATTCCTCGACAGGACATCTCCAAGACGCGAATACAACCCTGGTTCCATTTACTCAGGAAAATCAGGAAAACGCCGAATCAAAAGAACCTGGCAAGATGGATCCTGGCGCACAAATTCAGCAAGAGCAAGAACCCCCGAGAGTGGAAAGAAAAGCAAAATACAGGCTCTTCTCTCACGGGCTCAGAAACCAGAGGTGTAAGTCTCCAGGATATGATATATCTTCTTTTGATTGCTGGCACATATGTCTCATTCATCATTCAGACTGTTGGTGCAATTCTTCAGACAAGTATATGATGAGCATCAGGGAACGTCCAATCTTGTCAAGCCAGCTGAACCGGAAACCTTCGAGGATGTAGCTGTCAATGAGGGTTGCAAGATGGTGAGAGGCAGTCTGATCGTGGGCAACCGGCACCTGCGGTGTCACCTTCTTCGTCTGCCGATCCAGGTCCGATACAGAATTTATGAGTTCTTGTTCTGTCACCACAACAGTTATGTCGAGATAGGGGGACCATATAACCACCAAATCGGGGATTTGGCAATCCTCAGAACTTCGCATGTGTTTTACCATGAAGCGTCTATCGCTCTGTATCATTCCCTGGGTGATCGACTGCTCTTTTTCAGAAATTACGGGTCGAAGTCCGCTGATTTCCTCAGACGTCAGCCAATACCGTTGCCTTGCTGCCGTAACCGAGTCTTCCAGCAATGGTTGGAATACCCCTGTCGTAACAAAGAAATTGTGTGGAGAAGATCTTTCAAGAAAATCGTGTTTCTGATCGGAGCATCCGAGCCCCTGCTGGCAGTTCAACGTCGCTGGGCGTTTGCAGAGTTCATCACCACACTAAGAATGAGCGAACCCCTCAGAGTCCACGAGCTTTCTGTCGTTGTGTACAATCAATGGAAAATCCCCGGATTTGACGAGGGAGACCTGGTCCGCGCTCTGTTTAGTGGCGGGATTGAATTTCTCGGAAGGTTGATATTCAGAGGCCTGGCCGAAGACGAGACAGAACGCCTGACTCAACTCATCTTTGCCCTCGGAATTCCCAATTTGACGATCGAGCGAGTCATAACACGAGCACAGGAGGAAGAAGTCTCTATAAATCTGTGTAAGTGACTCGCTTTCGTTGCATGCCTTCTTCTGCCACTTGTTCTCATTCGAGGTTCATTGAGGATATTGGCTCGAAGCTCAGATGCATTGAAGCACAAGATCGATGATGGCGAAAAAGACTTCACGATCAGCCTCTGCACTTTCGAGTCCAAGACCGACGACAAGCAATCGCTTCTCGTCAGGTGTCTTTGTTGCAATAGAACTTGCAATCTGACGGGCGTAGAGCTGACCAACTGTTTCATGTCCAGGAGCTCGACCCCCAAGCAGAGAGGTGGCCATCAAGCGACTCATTGGAAGAAGATCATCATCAGCTGGCTCAGACAGTGTATGAAATCCCTGTGCCCCTGGGTTTTTATTCTCTAGCGGTACATGCAGCTGAGCTATGGGTTAGCCTGAGATCCTGGTAGGAGGGGACGCTAAGCTACGGACCCAATGTCCAAGTCGGCCCTTCTGAGATATGGTGACCAGAATTTTGTCGCTAAATTGGACGCACGTCACGTCTGTTTGTATGCCATTTACCATGCCAGAGACTTGTTTTGTCGCAGCAGGAAAAGGAAGGTCTAGTGGCACCTGGAGGTTATCGAGATCAAGAAGATTGGACATGACGAATGGTACTGAGATTTAGTTTCGGAATGCTAGAAATTGAAAAAAATGCTTCTTCGACGGACTAAGAGAACGTTTGATTTCAATTCTACCACAGAAATACAGATATAAACAAATGAAGCCGGTGATCAGTTGGCAGATGGTGGGTGATGCCGCCTTGTGGGCGGTGAGGTTTATATCCCCACTGTCCGGCAGAATCAATTTTCTTTTCACGTTTCTTTCAACAGGAGAAGAGCAGCAATCACAAAATCAGCCATTCTCTAACGTTGTTTTTCTAAAATTTCTTCCCTTTGTCTCCGGGCTGAGGCAAGGGAATCCCATCGACATCCACAATGCCCAAATTTGTCCCCCGTCAACGAAAGCAGAAGCATCGACAAAACAATTCAAACGATGTTGCGGTCGACACAAATGCTGCCGAGATACTGCCCATCTCCAAGAGCGAGAGGGAAGCAAGGAAGCAGAAACTCCGAGAGGAACTGAGGGCGCAACACACGAAAATCTCTGCGAAGAAGCAAAAGCGCTTGGATAAATATATTGTATGTGGATTATGAGTTCCTTGTGGTTCCACGGATGTCTGCGCAGATTTTATTGACCGTCTGAGCAGGAAAACAAACTCAAAAAAGAAGAGAACGTCGAGCTGCTTAAAAAACTTGAGAAGATCAAAGTCGACACCTCCGCGCTCCAGAGCTCAAGGGAACTAGGGCAACGGAAGAGAGAGGACGAAAATATTGTACCCGCGACTGCTACAAAGGCTGCTAGTGTTTCGCAGAATCAGGTTTCGGATTCGGAACTGTCAGGCGACGAAACAGACGATTTCTTTGTTGATTCGAAAGGGACTACTAAGCGAAAGCTCTCTGAGACTGCTCCTGCACCACCGATTCCCGCCCCAGCCGTTGGTGGCGGTCTCAAACGTCCTCTTGAACTCGGTCCGGACGGTTTCCCAGTTCTGAAGAAGCGGAAAAGAGCGCCCAAGGTCAAACCGGTGGTCGTATCCGTGCCGGAGGTTTCTTGGGAAGGGTTCGATTCAGATGATGGAAATGATAGTGCTGGTAGCAGCGATGAAGAGCCGGAACACTCAGAGAGCGATGCCGAAAAGGAGACTGTGCAGGATGGAGAGAACGACGCATCTTCCGACGACGATGAAAGCGATGACGCGGATAGCGGCAGTGATAATGAGGAGGATGAAGAGGAAGACGAGGACGAAGAAGAAGAAGACGACGATGACGACGAGGATGAGGAAGACGAGTCGTCAGCACAACGCCGAATCAAGCCTCGCCAGTCCGCGTTCAAAGAGTGGGCAAGACAACAAATCAATGAGGTTGTCGGCTTCAAACCTTCTGGGCCCATTACAGCAGAGGAGCAGCCTTTCGTTCCTGAATCCAAGCGGCCCGTCAGGAACACCGTCGCTGAAGAGGAGCCGCTTCCGCTAGAGCTCCAAGTCACCAAAGGCGATCCAAACCGCAAGGCTTTCAGCGTGCAAGTTGACCGTTCGGAAGAAGTTCAAAATTCGCGCTTAGGACTGCCCGTGGTCGGTGAGGAACAGAAGATAATGGAAGCCATCTACAACAATTCATCCATCGTCATCTGGGGTGCTACTGGTAGCGGAAAGACCACGCAACTTCCTCAGTTCTTGTTCGAGGCCGGTTATGGACACCCCGACAGTCCCAACCCGGGTATGATTGCAGTGACACAACCCCGCCGAGTTGCCGCTGTCAGTATGGCCAAGCGTGTGGCCGATGAGCTGGGACAGTATTCCGACCGGGTCGCTTACCAGATTCGATTCGAAAGCAACGTCTCTAGCAAAACCGCCATCAAGTTCATGACCGACGGTATCCTCATTCGCGAGATTGCCGAAGACTTCGCTCTGAAGAAATATTCTGTTATCGTGATCGACGAGGCCCACGAGCGGAGCGTCAACACAGATATCCTGATTGGGATGGTTAGCCGTATCATTGATCTGCGGAAAGCCATGAGCGAAGAGAATCCCTCCATCAAACCCCTCAAGCTCGTGGTCATGTCTGCGACTCTGCGGATCTCTGATTTCACGCAGAATCCAAGTCTCTTCCGTCATGGCCCGCCGCCACTAGTACAAGCAGAAGGCCGTCAGTACCCTGTGACCGTACACTTCGCGCGACGGACACATCGCGACTATGTTGAAGAAGCCTACAGAAAGGTCTGCAGGGGCCACCGCAAGTTACCTCCTGGAGGCATGCTCGTGTTCCTCACTGGACAGAACGAGATCAGGCATCTGGCTAAGCGGTTGAAGCAGACCTTCAAGCCCACACAACGGGGAGAAGCTATGCAGGCAAAAGTACAACTCTCCGCAAACGATGCACCGCTCGAAGCGGAGGATCTGGACCTTGGAGGTGCAGACTTGTCTCATCCTGGCAACGAGGATGATGACAGTGACCTCGAAATTACCGGCTTGGATGAGAATCCTGAGGAAGATGAAGAGTTCAATCTCGGGGAAGAGGCGATGGACTCCTCAACTCGAGTGCATGTCTTGCCGCTCTACTCTCAGCTGCCCACAAAGGAGCAACTGAAGGTTTTCGAACCGCCACCGGAGGGCTCTCGTCTTATCGTCCTGGCGACCAACGTCGCCGAGACCAGTCTTACAATTCCCGGCATCAAGTATGTCTTTGATTGTGGGCGAGCCAAAGAAAAGCAATACGATCTAGAGACTGGCGTACAAAAGTTCCAAATCGGTTGGATCAGCAAGGCTAGCGCAAGCCAGAGAGCTGGTCGAGCTGGTCGAACCGGACCAGGTCACTGCTACCGACTCTATTCTTCCGCGATTTACGAAGGTGAATTCGCGGAATACACCGACCCTGAGATCTTACGAACACCTATTGAAGGCGTCGTGCTCCAGATGAAAAGCATGGGCCTACATAACGTGATCAATTTCCCCTTCCCTACACCTCCTAGTCGGCAGGGTCTGACCAAGGCCGAGAAGTTACTGAAGAACCTCGGAGCACTCTCCGCGGACGGTAAGATCACTCAGATCGGCCATCGCTTGTCGACGTATCCGCTATCACCGCGGTTCAGCAAAATGCTTCATATCGGCCACCAGCACGGCTGCATGCCCTATGTGATTGCGCTTGTCTCTGCACTGGCCGTGGGAGACTTGTTCATCCCTGAAAACCAGATCGATCCAGCTCCTTCAAAGGAAGAGGACAAGGGTGACGGAGTATATAAGAACTCCGATCGTTTGGAGGACACGGCTCGAGAACAGCGCCACAAGGACTACGCGAGAGCACAGCGTCTCTTCAGCAAGCACGATGATACTTCGGACGCTTTGAAGTATTTGTCAGCGATCTGCGCCTATGCTTATGCTTCGAATGGGGACTCATTCTGCGATCAGATGTTCCTGCGGGCAAAGGCATTCAAGGAGGCAACGCAACTTCGGCAACAGTTGACCGACATTGTGCGCGCAAACAACCCGGGTCTGATTGGAGCGTACGAACCTCGTCTGCCTGAGCCAACCGATAAACAGATCAAAGCGCTGAAGCAGATCGTGACAGCTGGGTTCATCGACAACGTTGCAATCCGCGCCGATCTGGCGCCGGTTCCGCCGGAGATGGACCGCACACCGAAGAGAGCCATCGATGTCCCATACCTAACGCTCTTCAGATCTCGAGAAGGAAGGGCGACAGAACTCCAGGAGAAAGCCGTCTACATGCATCCGTCGTCTGTTCTGGCCCGCCTTTCACCAAAGGAAATGCCGCAGTACCTGGTCTACTCTCATCTCCAACAATCAGCGCCTTCGGTGCTGTCCGACCAGGCCCCGAGGATCAGGATGTATCCTCTCGCGGCACCCAGCGGCCTGCAGCTCTCTGCTATCGCGCATGGCACGCCGCTCATCGAATACGGCAAGCCAATCGGCAAGATAGAACCGATGGACGGGGTCCCGCAGCGACGAGCATGCTGGGTCATTCCATCGCTTGTAGGCGAAGCTGGAGGTACCTCTTGGCCCTTACCGGCCAAGAAGGTCATTCAACGGAAAGATATAAAGGACGGCTGGGTGATTGAAAAGTTCACCACCTAGATGTATATAGTTTTTGGCAGGCTGGAAGCAAAGATCGACAGGAGTAATGCTTGATGAAATACATGCATGCCGTTTAATAATGCCGTTTCATCCCGACCAAAAAGGATGCAGCATCACCTCAACACCCTAAACGCCATGGTAACCCATACGAACAAAAACAAGCACCAACCCCCATCTAATACCGCTCCCTATCCCTCTTCCTCGCCTCAAAATCCTTCCTCCCACTCGAGATCTCCCCCGTCTCCGTATCCTCCCGAATCCCCAACGCCTTCTTAAACCGCTCACTCTCCTCAATCTTCGCCTCCGCAAGCTCATGCACCTGATACGTCTTGAACTGCCTCCTCTCTCTCGGCGGCAGATCCCGCTCCCTATCCCTAGGCCCACGCCTCCACCCCCTGCGCTCCCTCCCTCATCCTTCTCACCATCCCCACATCAACCCTGCGATTCTCCTCCTCCATCTCCTTCAACAACCTCGCCCTGAGCGCCTCACACCGCTCCTCAATCTCCTCCTCCGACAACACCTTCCCCTCTCCTTTGCCCTTACCCTCCTCCTCAATCCGCTCATTCTCCTCCTCAAGCCTCTCCCTCTCCTCCATGACCTTCACCTCAACCGCACGCCGCCGATCATGCTCCAGAATCTGCTTATCGGGCTGCCTCTGCTTGAATGACCGGGCAGAATCATTGGCATTGGCGCCTGAAACGGGCGGGTACGGCGCGCCGTAGCCTGCGTTGCGCGGCCTCATGAAGGCGTAGTTGCGTTGGACGTAGCCCGAGGTACCGCTTCCACGAGGGGTAGAGAGGCCGACGTTTGAGGACATGATCGATGGCTACAAGACTGGGATGTGATTTATGGTTTATTGTGGGAGCGGGAGGAGTAGTGGTTCTGCAGAGGTGTTTGTGAAGTCGGACAGCCGTGAGAGTGGATAAATCGTTTTCCGGTCGAAAAGGACTCGTGGGACGGGGAAACTGTGAAGCACAGTAACCTCAAATGTTGAGCAGGACGGAGTAATGCTCTAGATATTGAGAATGAGGTGACTGTGAGAGTTAGACACTCTGCGCAGGGTAATGCTTCCGGTAGAATGAACTTGTGACTTGTGGCAAGCTCCAGTTCCTCCGTACCTGATAGAAGTATGGTCACGTGATTACTGCCCTTGATAAGCACCAAAGGGGAAGATGAGGAGAGTTGAGAAAATTAGCTGAAAGGTGCAACATCTATATGTTAGAGATTAGAAAGACAAACTATAATTATTGTGCTAATCAAGTCAGGTACACCGACATGTGTCGGACTGGATGCGTTCTGACGGCCATGTCTTTCTGTCATAGAATGAACCCATTTCCCATATGCCCCTCTACATTAGGAATATATGAACCGATCATATCAGCTTTGCGAGCAAACGCTTTTCATTTGAACAGACTGTATAGCGAGATAGAAAAGTCACCTCATGCGCCAGGCAAGTCTCATGTAATCTACCTATTTCCAGATTCCTGCATATGCCCATGATCCCGTATCGAGTTTCGCCAGGTCAGTCAAGCGCGATATTCCAGTATCCTTAGCTCACCGTTGAAGACGCCGAACCCTCCTATTTGGACAAAGAAAGAAGAACCATTCACAAACTTCTCGAGACGTATCCTCATTTTCATCACATCACAATTTCAAACACAAGACGAAGACAAACGATTAAGAATGTGGGAAGGTCGAACATGAACCAGTGAAGCTCCCACCATGACCCTTGGATTTTGACGCCGTCATGCCATGAACGATAATGGCTGGGGAGAAGTATCGAAGAAAGAAAGCCGGAAACTCATATATCCCTCAGAGAGTTCCCTGTATGTATACGCCCATATTAAAAATAGAGTTGGGGTTTCGGCTCATTTAAAGACATAAAAGGAGCAAATATTCGCACGAAGAAAAGGGAGAAAATTAAACAAAGTGCAGAGTCTGAGGTCTGAAGTAACTTTAGGTGGATCCGGACACTGGCACAGAGCCGTTGGGGGCGGCAGAGGCAGATTCAGATACCGACAAAGGGGTCACCGTGCTTTTTGCAAGGTTCTTCGACTCAGTAGGACCGTGTGTATGACCCTGGTTGTCAGTGGGAGGAGGGGTAGGGGGAGCCGCGCCGACAACAGGAGCTCGGCTGTCCTCTAGATCGTTGACCAGGCGCTTGCTTGGCTGAGGGGAGGATTTGTGGGAGTGAGGAGGAGTCGTGGACGAAGCCGGAGGCAGGGAATTAGCACCCAGCGTCGCAGAATCGAAAATGAGTTTTTCGATCGCGACGATCTGCTTTCCATAGCTGAATTTCTTAAGCTGGCTGAGCAAAGGCCGGATTTGGTCGATGAGAGCCTCTCTTTCCTCGCCCTTCAGCTGACCAAGCACCTTTTCTAAAGCAAGCGTTAGCGATTGCTTACATCGAAACGAAGACCCGAAAAGTACTCACGAATAACGTAGTTTCCGTACTGATCACGCATCAAACCCAGGAGAGGGCTCTCGCCTCTCTCGTTCGCGGATGTCAATGTGCTGATGATCTGCCGACACTGCGACTCTTCACCAAATTCGATGCTCTTTTCGACGACATTGCTCGCAAATTTATGCTTCGAATACATGAGCAGTTGCGACAGTACAACGTTGATCATACGGGATCGATCCTTCTCCTCGCCGTTTTCGATCACGTGTTGAATGACATAGTTTCCGAACTGATCTGGGATAAGGTGAGCAGTGCAAGCATGAAGCTCAGCCAAGATGGATTCGCGGTCTTCTTCTTCACAGTGCTCAAGCATGCGCTGGATGACCCGGCATCCATATGGGTGCGCGGCCAGCCTGCTCACTTGTCCTTTGAAGGCGTTGATGATGAATTGCACGTATTGAGATGGAACTCTTTCAATGGCCTTCTGAATGACATGGTTACCATTCTGGTCACGGACACACTTGAGCACGTGGTTCTCGAGCTCCTTGACCATGGATGCCTGCTGGTCGGTAAGGATATGTTCCAGCGCCTAATCAACCATTAGCCTTAGATGTACGGTAAAATCCACCCTTTGGCGTGAAGTAGCCTTACCTTTTGGACAACGCGACACCCATACATCTGGGTGGACAGGGCAAGCACATGGCCCTTCATTTGATTGGCAAGGATCTTTTTCTGGGATTGGTTGCCGTGTTCGAAGAGCTTTTGGACAACGTAGTTGCCAAACACGTCTGTCATCAACTGCAGGCAGTTGGGCTGAATTTCGCGGAACACTTGCTCTTTCTCGTCGCTATTCGCTGTCTCCAGCTTCTGTTGAATGAATCTTGAACCATGCTGATCGCCACTGAACTCAACAATGTGATTGTAAATGTCCTGCAGGGATTATTAATAGGGATTTTAGAGCCTGAGAATAGTAAGGGGGAAACGGAAATACATACCTTGAGCTCGTATCGTTTATTTCCCTTGCTATTCGCTCGAAATTCCTCCAAGAGTGGGCTCCGCACCACTTGGGCAGGGTCTTGATCACGATGGCCCCTGGGGATGATACCAGCGGAGCCCAGTCCACCAAGCTGCGCGACAGGATAGAATCCTGACAGGGCGTTGAGGCGTGCCGCTTGATATCCCGCAAGATCATACGCAGGAGCATTATATGGAATACGTTGCAGAGAACTTGCAGCACCGTGGGCAAGATCCTGATCGTGCTGCATAGCACGCAACTTCCGCTCCAAGGCTAGCGTCTGGTTTTCACTCAGTCGGGAGGCAGACCCATTCCGATAATGTGACCCAGGGACCGCGCCGGCCTCAAGAGCAGAATAAAAGTTGCTCTCCATCCGCGCGAGATCTGTGGGAGAAAGTGAACCTTCACCAAGACGGGATCGGCCGGCGTGGTGTCCTAATGGCAACTCGGGCAAACCATCTCCCGCGTATCCCCCGACTGCTTCATAGCTGGATTCATCGGCAGTGCTCTGATATTTGAAGCGTTGCAATGACCCATCATAGGACGAGTGGGACAGGTAGGGCGGACGGCTTGCTGGGTGGCCCGAGAAGCCACCTTCGTTCAGCTGAAGCTTATTGATTCCAGCACTCAGGTCCATGGAGGAGCCTCCAAAGCGACCCTCAAATCCCTGGCTTTCAGAATGAAACGACGGGTGGGAGGCGTGGGTGGGTCTCTGAGATGTAATTGATGCGGAGTTATGGGATGCATGCGCAAAACCGTTACGAGCCAACGGCTGCGACATGGTGTCTGGCAACGTCTGTGGTAAACTAGACATTGTGAGAGACCCAGTTACCTCATCGGGCCGAGTGGTGTCCAGAGTGGTAAACCCTTGCTTCATAGGAAATCCCGTTCCAACTGGGCTTCCTCCAAAGGCAGAGGAGTTGGGATGCCGTCTACCGTCGCCACTCCGGAGCCCACCAAAATTGCCGAATGACAGCCCGTCTCCGGATGGAGAGATCCCGTCAGTTCCAGCGTTCAGGTAAGTTTTGTGGTTCCCTCCTCCAGCGGACGAGCCGATTCCGGAAGATCTAGGTATGGAGAAATATGACGAGGAATCGGCGGTCTCCGATAGAGCGGGTGCACTTCTGTCATTGGGCCTTGTCGAAATGGGTGAAGCAGTCATGCCGTTGTTTTGGCCTCTGGACAAGGAAGCCGACGTTGTGTTCACTGTGTTCCAGGGCAGATTCGGCCGACTACTCCATCCGTCAGATTCAGAGGAAGGCAGTAACGAGCCTGACCCTGATTTTCCTTCGAAAGCAGTTTCCGCAAGATTCTGGTCTTCAGGTCATATCGTCAGTTCAATGATTCTGTGCAAGGACAAAATAGAAATACCGCGAGCTCGATCCATCAACTCACCATCGAATCCGCTTCCCAGGTTGTTGTCGCCCCAGATGTTGGAATTCCAGCTTGACTTTCCAGCCCCGAAACCCTTGCCCATACCTGCATGAGGCCCTCGTGACCGGTCACTGTTCATACCCGATGCGGACATGTTTGTAGCTCTGTTTGATCGTACCTGTATCGCAGCAATCAATGGTCTGTCCGACTTAATCCTGCCATTGAGACCTACATTATGTACCGTGGTTGAGTTTGCTGCCATGGCAGAGGCCATTCCACTGTCACCACCAAGGATAACAGATCAACAAAAAAGAACGAAAAAAAGTATCCTGACGGGCCGCAAAATATTTGCAAGTAATCAAGGCCAATATCAATATCGCCCTTCTATACTTGCGCACGAATCACACAGACCCGTCACAAGTGAAAGATATCACGAAGCAAAAGAATAATATATGCCAACCCGTATTTGCAGATGGGCACGAGCTGCCTGCAATGGCGGAGGAGAAGGTATAAAGCTGCACGAGGACCAGTCATACGATTAGCCAAGCGATCTTTCGGGAAATTCAAGCAGCACGTCCTCCCTGCTGTCCAAAATGAAAGGTTTCCTTTGGAGGGAAACTTACCGAGAGAAGAGAAGAAAGGGGAAGTAAAGAGAAGAGGTGAGGAAAGGGATGGGTAAGAGGGAGAGAAAGAGAATATGATGATCGTTTACTCGAAAACAGCAATACGGTCAAGCAATGTACAAGACTATACAAGGGACCGAAGGGAGAGGGAAGGGAGAGAGATAGACGGCAGATGAGAAAGCGAGAAATGCGGAGCGGAGAAGCAGGCCAACGAGATTCAACGCAAGGTGACAAGCACTAAGGAAGAAGAATCTCCCTTGTCGTTTGCTAGCGCAACGCTCAGCAAGTAGCCGTCCTTCAAAATTGCCGATTATGGGTGTATGTGTCTCGTGTGTGTCGTGAACGTTACCACGCTCCGTGCATGCTCCAGGAACCTCGAACTGCGCCGATTGCCCTCATGTGCCCAGTGGAGGAGATACAGACACCGGTGTGTTGCAATAGCGACGAGCGGCCGTAGGGGGGTTGTGGTTGTAATCAGACAAGCGTGAGGGAGTGAGCTTGGATGGTTCGTAGCGGCAAGGGGTGTGTGGGAGTGGAGGGGGAAACCGAGTGTTATTGCAGCCGGTACGGTAGGTAGGAATGTGCTCGTTGCGCAAGTGGGCGAGGAGATCAGACGTTATGAGTGGACCGTTCGAATGGTGAGAATGTGGACGACCAAGCACGGCA